ACCTATATCTTTTTATACGATGATGTGTCCAAAGATTTTCATGTGAACTGTTTCTCCCTGAACAGACATAAATGAATGTGATGGAAGTGCGTGTCAGGAGAACGAGGTGTGCGCCAACACTGTTGGCTCTTTCACCTGTTCGTGTGCTGTTGGATTTACTGATGAGGGCTCAGGGTGTATAGGTAAGGTCATTATATAAATGTGTCATAACGTGGTGGATTCAGGTGCTCCTCAGTTTGGGGGCATAAGGAGATATTGATATCCTCTTAAAGCTTGTTCATTTGTCCTGATTTTTTGTGAAAAATACTAAAGTCTTGAATAGAGGTGGAATTAGATATATGTGATTGTGGGAGGTGGGGGTTGCATGGTGGCGGAGGTAAAGTAAGGGAGAAAATAGCTCCTTAAGTTTGATAATTTCAAAACCTTATGCGTCCTTGGAAACTGCAAATTTACATTTTGTGGGTATTTTATCAAATCCACTAAACCCGGACACAAATGTATTCTTAAATGGACAAAAAAGGTGTTGAGAGGGAGAAAAAGAGAAAAGAAAATCCTATAAAAATTGTCCAACAGTCAGAATATATGTCGGTTGTTCGATTTTATTATTTTGACAAGAGCCTGATTTCACAACGTTGCTACTCAAATAAAACTTGCATTCTTTACAGAAAGAGTATTGTATTGAAAGGGCTTTACAGATTTTCTCCTGGACCTTCAAATTTAACCATTTCTGATAAAGCTGAGCCTAATGTGTTCAGAGTCTTTGAAACTCCACAAAGTTTCCCACTTGGGCAATAAAGTATCATCTAATCTCATGCCCAAGCTATTTACATCCAAGCAATTATCTCTACCTTTAAGAAAAAAAAGGCTGGAATGCTACATTTTCCCCATACTCCTATATATGGCCCTGAGACCAGGATTTTAACCCCAAAAAAAGAAGAAAAAGTAACTACTTTTGAGATGTGGTGCTACTGCAGAATTGCCAGCTGGAAAGCAAAAAAGACAATCAATATGGTGTGTCAGATTCTCCACACAAGGTAAACCATGCTTAATGAGATAAAATGCAGGAAAATACAATACTTTGGTCACATAAAATGACTCGAAACCATTGTGAAAGAGGTGCTTGAAGGAAGGATGTGGAGTAGGAGAGCAAGGGAAATATAACATACCTTGACTGGCCTGGGTATAGCAGAATGTGCAATGGCAGCTCGCAACCATGAAGGATGGAGGGTCATTATACATCAATCTCTGAGTCAAGAAATGACGCTACCAGGTTATCTTACCTTATCTTATTTTACCTTATCTTATCTTATCAAAGTCTCCAAAGGTAAAAAAAGCACACTCATGAATTGGAATTAGGGCCATCCTCTCCGTAGTCCTGATTGATACCAACTAAGTTAAATGAGTGCCCTGAAACGGAGAGAGAGAGAGAGAGAGAGAGAGAGACAGAGACAGAGACAGAGAGACAGAGACAGAGAGACAGAGAGAGAGAGGGGGAGGGAGGGAGGAGAGAGAGATAGGGGATGGGTGGGAGGGGGGATGGGGTTAGGTTAGCAGGTCTATGAAGACTTCTTATAGTGCAACTACCTGCTTTGTTCGTATTTTTTCAATTTTTTTTAGAATGTCATGACATACTTTTTTCTTTCTAAACAGACATTGATGAGTGTCAGAGAAACCCATGTCAAGTGAATGAGGTGTGCAATAACACTGTGGGCTCCTTCTCGTGTCCATGTGACACTGGATTTACCAACAATGGATCTAGTTGCACAGGTAACCCACAATAAGTTTGTGTGAATAGTTCTTTCTTCCAGATCTGCTTAACAGCGGCTTGTAAAGAGAGCCTCTGTGCTGGAGATCTGCTGTCAATGGCTGTGGCAAATTCCATTACAACAATGACAATATTATACTAATTTTTTGCAATTGCCATAAACAGGTCTCTCTTATCAGGACTTTTTTCATTAGATGAAGAACTATCAAAATAGGTTCATTTGTTATTATTAAATGACCTATTTCGTGGTGTGTACGTCACTCTTATGTTTCATATTAGCGGAGGGCTTTGACACAATGAAAAAAAAAATCTCTCCTGAGATAAAGAGTTACATTACATTTTCTAGATTTTAGGCTCATCCTGAGTAAAATTTTCAGATACTGACAAATGGTTATTTTAAGTACTTTCACTGTTCTCAACACATATATGAAGGAAAGATACACTACTGATGAATAATAGAACGTCCCTCTAAATCCATGATTGTCTGTCTTTTTGTGCTTGCACTTGATTGCCTAAGTTTTATATTTTCTTTGCTTAGTTTGATGTAGAAAAGTGCTTGAAAATTGATAATGGTCATTATGTAAGTGAATTTATGAACTAATATGATCTCAACTATTAGTAACAGTGTTGCGAAGATAGCAAGTTATTACAATCTTTGCATACATAATTTAGATATGTGGGTTTTTTGGGGACATGAGCAGCCTCAAAACCAAATGAATACAGTAGACTGCTTCAGAAATTAGTTATGGTCCTTGAAAATTTGGTTTCTAGAAATGTTTTTTTTTTTAACTGGCTACCATTTGTAATTTTGGTTAATGTACAAGAAGAAAACTAATATTTGCCTCTGTATGTGGTCTGATCTCTTAATGATATTGTGTTATATCTGTGATTAGATGTGGACGAATGCGATCAAGATCCATGTCAGGCCAATGAGGATTGTGTTAACAATGATGGATCATACACATGCCCCTGTATTACCGGCTATCAGCGTGATGGGAATAACACATGTGCAGGTACTCCAGTGTAAAGTGTGATTTGTTGTAGTAAGGAGGATGCAACCAAAGGAAAAAGGATGGTTACACTTTAGTCTTCTTTGTGAGCCTAAGAGAATTGATGGAAAATAAATGTCCAACACTGTGCCAGTGAAAACAAGGAGGTTCATACTTGGGCAGTGAATGATTTCTCAATCGGAAAAAGTTCTCTATGTGTCGACATATTTAATAAGTTTTTTCTGTGAGAGCAATGTATAGAAAGTCTCTCCCTCTCTCTCTCACTCTCTCTCTCTCACTCGGTCTTGTTCTCTCCCTCTCCCACTTTCTCCTTCTCTCCCTCCTTCCCTCCCTCCCCTCTTCCTCTCTCTCCCTCTCCCGCTCTCTCTCCCTCTCCCTCGCTCACTCTCTCTCTCTCTCTCTCTCTCTCTCTCTCTCTCTCTCTCTCTCTCTCTCTCTCTCTCTCTCTCTTTCTCTCTGAGAGGAACAATGTAGCAAACAAGTGAACTAGGGACTCCACAATATAATGCCCAAGTTGTCTCTCCAGAAGAGAAGAGGTTATTTTAACAAAATTACTGATTGGACGCACTTCACAGATACACAAATACCTTGTGCAGGCCGGTGAAAAAACATTTTGTATCACATTCAATGCCGACTTTTCAATCGAGTAGCCTACTAATAGAGTGATCAGACTTAGTGATACACCCACAGGAAATATTTTAAATGCTCTAACTTGAAAAATTTGTTCTCCATTGTTGATCCCAACAGTGTCTTTTTGATTTTATAAAGACCATTGGTCTTTACAGGAAGATGTAAATAGTGTTATTTAAAATGTGTAAATTGCTACTTTTAAAACTGAAATTTTACTATGTCAACCATTCTGGCTCGCAAAGCAAAACCAAGCCATGCTGTGAACTAGCGTAAATACTGACACCCTGAATCCCATGTGCTCATATGACCTTATGTAGTTGTGAGTGTTGTAAAACTCTTTTCAAGCTAAAAACTATCTCTCTCTGTCTCTCTGTCTATCTGTCTCTGTCTCTGTCTCTGTCTCTCTGTCTCTGTCTCTCTGTCTCTCTCTATCTCTCTCTCTCTCTCTCTCTCTCTCTCTCTCTCTCTCTCTCTCTCTCTCTTTCTCTCTCTCTCTTTCTCTCTCTCTCTTGCATGTACACACACACTCAACATACATACATATGCACACCCATACACACCCATAAGCATGCACACTCATACTCTGACACACATACATACATGGATCTGAGATATTTTTGTATGTACGTTACAGTAGAAAGTAACTCTTGTCTTACTAAAATGTGGCCATCTTTAACTCACTCTACCCTAGGCCTACACTTCCGTGTTGTCGAGCTCTCCCTAGAGATTTTTACCACTTTTTGAAAAATTGAAAAAACAACTAAGCTTTAACAATATCCTACCCAAATTTGGTACATCTTTTATTCAAACCTTTATTTGTGTATATTGAAAATTTGAAGGCAAAATATGTCATAATTTTTATGTAATACTCCCTGGAAAAAGGTCTATATATAGAGTTAAAAAGTAAACAAAAAACGAAGAAAGGAAGTGCGTTCAAATTTTGCACTCCCTCACATGGTTCACAAATATAGCTTTCTTTGTTCTAGATTTGGGCTTGCACTTCTGGTCATAGTCTTTTTCAAACGAAAAATGGTTACTCTTCAATTAGGTTATAGTCTGCTTCCCACAAAAGTAGTGTTTTTGGTCATGAGAGCGAAATGTTTCACACCGATAGTCGGCGATAGGGTTGGAGTGATGCTCTCGCATACCAATATTATTGGCATTAGGGCTGGGTGAGTTAAAAGAAATTCATTTTTATGATCTATTACGACACTTCATATTGGCCATGGTAACTTCACTCCTGTTCTTGTTGATTCTAATGAAAATGAACTTAATGTTAACAATTGTTTCTGAGCAGATGTGGACGAATGTCAAGGAAACCCATGCCTGGCAAACCAGAGATGTGTCAACTCTGAGGGCTCTTTCAGCTGTCCTTGTGAAACTGGATATGTCCCGTCTGTCTCAGGGTGCACAGGTAGAACATATATGCTTAGGGCTTATACCATTTGCCCTTTCTTTCTGCTGTGTATGAATTTATTTTTAAGAAAGCTTGTAGCCTCAACTTTTTTCAGTCACTTGAAACTTTTCGCTTTTCAATGATTTATAACACAAAAGATGTATTGAAGCACAGAAAGAGCTGTATTTATGCTTCATACATTAATCAAATGCGTTCAATAAAATTGGACACAATGAGCTATTTAAAATACTGGAAAAGATAGACATAGATGGAAAAGATCTAAAAATTATCAGGAATTTGTACTGGGACCAAAACGCTGCTGTACGAATTAATGGAGAATACAGTGAATATAAGCAGATAAGGCGAGGAGTGAGGCAAGGGTGTGTTATTTCACCAGACCTCTTTAACATGTACAGTGAAACAATCCTTAGAAACATAGAAAAATGTCCAGGTCTCAAAGTAAATGGAGAAAAGATTAATAACATCAGGTATGCAGATGACACAGTTTTGATAGCAGGCTCAGAAAAAAACCTTCAATTACTTCTAGATACTGTTGTAACAGAAAGTGAACGTAAAGGATTAGTGTTGAATGTAAAGAAAACAGAATGCATGGTAATATCCAAAAAAGCAGCAAAGCTTTGTTGTAATCTCATTAGCAAAGGTGAAAAGATCAAACAAGTCCAACAGTTTAAATATCTAGGATATAGGATAACATCTGATGCCAAATGTTCCACAGAAATAAGACGGAGAATTATAATGGCTTAGGCTAGTTCCAATAAAATGAGCCCAATCCTGAAAAATAGAAACATCTCAATGAACACCACAATGAAAGTTTTGAAATGCTATGTTTGGTCAACCCTTCTATATGGCTGTGAATGCTGGACAATCACTAAAGACAGTGAAAATAAAATACAAGTAACAGAAATGTGGTTTCTTTGGAGACTGCTAAGAGTATGGTGGAAGGAAAAGAAATCAAATGAGGTAGTGCTTGATGAAGCCCACGTGGGACGCTCAATGTTAAAAACAATCAGGAAACAACAAATGCAGTTTTTGGGACACATAAATAGATATAAGGGTCTTGAACATCATATCTAGCTCTCCCTGGCAAAATTGAGGGCAAACGAAGCAGGGGAAAGGCCCTGAACAACATACTTGGGGAACCTAAACAAATGGGTAGCGGGGAAAGATCAGGGAAACATGGCTTTTTTGAGTGCATGTGAGCAAAGGAATGAATGGAGAACCATGATCGCCGATGTCTGTCGCAGATCTGGCACTGGATGATGATGATAACACAAAGCTATGTGTTTATACTTTTTAAAGTTTATTTTTAGAATCTGCTGCTCATGGTTTGCTCCTAGTTAGGTTTGATTTTTTAATGGTGCTTTCAATTCCCAGTCAGATTATCTATTTTCTATAGTTGTTACTGCCATGTGAGTGAGAGTGTGTTCATACTGTACTTGGGACTTGTACATGATGTGAACAACACAAGGACAATTTCCTACATTTTCCTACTTGCGAGTGCATGACCACCTGCCTTATAGAGCATAATTTTTAACACCATAAACGTAATCATATGCCTCAACACAGGTAACTTTTTCCCTCCTTTGCTTTGAATGCTCTCCTCAAAATGAGGAAGTATAAGCCTTACAGTAGTCCATCAAGATTTTTAGGTGCATGTCTCCTGTAGACAAAGGGGACTAGGGCTTAAAGGGTTAACAATTAATTAGTGACTGCCATCCTGGGGCAGAGTCATTTTTCAGAATAATAGCCTTCTGAGAAAATACATAACCATCCTTAAGAGTTGAACAGTTTTAGCTGTTATGAATAATATTAATGAATATTGACTCTTCATATGTGTGTGCCTTTGTATATAAGTGTGTGTGTGCGTGTGTGTGTGTGCGTGTGTGTGTAGGGGTGTGTGTGTGTATGTGTGTGTTTGTGAATCTCTGTGAAAAAGAGGGAGAAGAGAGTGAGAGTGTTGACATGTGCATGTATGTATTTACCATACCCCAGTAAGTTTCTACTTATGGAGATGAATAAGTTGTCATCTCATTTTAAAAAGTTAATCCTTTCATGAACTGTATAACGTATATCATTTGTAGTTTTTTTCTGATATGGCGAAGCAGCTGAGATGCTGCTGTTACGAATGGTGTTCTTCATGCCTTCGAAAGTGCGAGGACCATGATTATGAATGCGATTTGTCATAGGTTGTAATTTTCACACTGCTTCTATTAGATGCATTTCGTAAAACTAATTGCAGATTCATAATCAGCTGTATTTTCCGTTTTAAAAAGTCTTTTTCTTTTGGAGATATTTAGTAGTATTTACAAGCCAGGTCTAGTTATAGGCAGCCAGCTGCTAAATCTAGCGCTACTTTTAGTCCCTGGGGATCCAAAACTGTGCCTGGTGAAGCACAAAGTGACTCTGTGTTCCATGGGGATCAAAGCATATTTTGTAGCTTAAATTCTCGTTCAACAATAAATTCTATGCAACTTACAATCCATATAATGAACAAAAAATATGTTAACTCTTGTTTAGGAAATGTTCAGAGAATGTGAATTAGATTAAGAAATTCAAACCCGTTTGCTAAAAATAATCATTTCTCAATGCGAGTATTCTCGTCATGAGAGCTAAAAGGGGCACTGCCACAAATCAAGCTGATTTGTGGGAGATCACTTGGGCCAAATGGACACAGATTCAAGCTTGCAAATAATAAAGTGAAACAGTGTTGATGGGTGTTTTTAAGCAATAATTTTACGTTCCATTGTAACCCAATTTCTTCACGTGGAAGCGATTAAAGTGATGCTATGTTTCATGCTTTTCTTTCATTTTCTTAATTCAGATGATGATGAATGTCAGCCAAATGACTGTGGAGCCAATTCAGTGTGTACAAATTCTGTAGGGTCTTTCACTTGTGGATGTCTCCCTGGTTATTTGTACGATAACAATGACAACTGTGTTGGTGAGTACAAAATGCATATCAACATATGCTGGCCCAAAATGCATACTTTCCTTTTCTTACATTCAGCTGACAGGCCTATTATCTTTTTCTTCCAATCTTTTCATTATATTTGTGAGGCATTGTGGTGAAATCAGACACTAGTCAAAATAATTAAATAGAAAATATCATCATTTTTCCTCCAGTTTCACCATTTTTTTCTTCTAATTTTTTTATTTTATGGCTCAACACCTTTTATGTCCAATTAAAAACAAATTTTTGTGTGGATTTTACTGAAAAACATTTATTAAAGGCAAAAAAATGCTTATTTCCTATTTCCAAGGACTTTCAGGCTATGGAAGTTACCAAACTTTGGCGGCCATTTTCTTGCTAATTTTACCTCTGAAACCAGACGACCCTGACCTCCTTCAATCACAAATATTTTGACTTTTATTCAACAGAGATGAATTTTTTTTTTCACCAAAAGGAAGGCAAATGAACATGATTTAAGATGATACCGATAACCTTATATGCCCAAAAATTGATGAGCGCCTGCTCTAACCGTGAGTTGCTGGGAGCGGCTTGCCGGACATAAAGAGATAACGCCTGTAGCATATAATTTAAGTAGCCACCACCTTGCCTGAGTTTGTTTAGCAAAATCAGTGTTAAATTAATTTGTTTTGATGCCCAAATACTATAGATGTAGTTGATTCTTAAGGACTTGTGAAGTTTTGCATATTTCTCAGTCTGGTCAACCTTTTTTTTTTTAACTTGATATTTCTTTAACATATAAGCCAATTTTCTTCGTACTCACAAATGTGACATCTCCTTATTTGAATTTTATTTGTTCAATTTCATTTTTTTCTAAACTGATGTGGTGATGACTGGGTTATTGCCCTTAAAATGGTCCTCTACATTAAAAAATCACTTTTTGAGGCATATACCGGCCTAAACCGGCATACCCGTCCTGTATAGGCCTACATATTATATATATAATAGGCCTACCTTAATTTTACAGACTTTCCCGCGGTAGGAGAGCCATACCAGCTTTTTCTGGCCTGACACACCTGCCTTTAGTGCAGGCTTAGAAATAAGAACATTCCACTCTAAATTTAGATATTGACGTCCCAGGTTTTTATATGTGAAATCTAATTAAAATACGTCTCTCAGATCAAAAGCAAAAGCAATTTCTTTGCTACTCCCCTTGAACCTCTGAAAAACAATGAAATAATCCGGTTCTGGGAAGCCACCTGCTGACCTCTTTATGGTTCTAAGAGGATTTAACACCCTAGTGTACAAATGATCAGTCTATAGTCAGCTATTTGTATTAATATCTGAAGCCTATTCAATTTTGCATGACAGGTCTTTCCAAGGGTGCAAAAGGCTACCCAGATAAAAACAAACACATAATCATATGTGCATACATGCGTGCATACATGAATTTGAAACTTTCATCTGAGGTCTTCAGAGTAGACTTGGAATTGGCTATGGTGGCTGTGATGACAGATTTTTGTCTTCCTTCTTTTAAAAAAAGCTTTAAGTGTAAATGTTTTAGTTGCTATCTGTTTGTAGGCACATGTTCCATGTTCTTTTTTCTGTTACTGGGTTTACAAAAGTGTATTTAACACCTTTAATTGACAAAGAATCACAAATTTCATGAAATGGAAATGTTATTCTGAGTGAAAAATATGTTTTGTTTGTGAACAGATATCGATGAATGTCGAGGAAACCCATGCCAGGTGAATCAGGTTTGTGTCAACAACGATGGCTCTTATACCTGTCCTTGTGATACTGGATTTGTCCTCAACGGAACAGTTTGTATAGGTAGGTTAAATTTTTTTTTTTATTCGACCAGCCCTTTTTCCTTGATACCTCATACTTGTAGGATGTATTAACATTATGGGGGACTTGCTGGGAACTTTGGGATAAAGTTATTCAAGCCAAAGTTCAAATGCTTAAATCACTTGATAGGCAACTTGGATTTTTTTTTTCAAAGCACAACATGTAAATGGTGGCATTCCGAGGCTGCTAAAAAAATTTCGTACTAAATTGAAATTTTTGCACATAGCAGGAACTGTCTGAAAATGTATGCTAAGACCAGATTCCATCTAATATAAACATTGTTTCTGAAATTTCAGATTATGCAACATTTGTGTTCCCTTGAATCACAGCACAATGAAAGAGTAATGTACCCAAAAGAGGATTTATTATTTCTTTTTTACATCTTGTGATAGTGATTATGCTACAAAAACAAATGACAAATAGTTTGTAAAAGTACGGAGCAGATAATTGTTATCAGGTAAACAGATTTTAGTTCTTCAACCTTTCATAAAGGCTGTAGTATTTTTACTGTTTTGGGAAGTAACTTTATCTATATTTTGATTACTTAAAACCATTTTGCCTGACCCTTCAAAACGAGCACTAAAGTATGGCAGCAGGAAAAACTGCAGTACAGGCCAGTTTGTGATCTAGCTCTACGACAAGGGGGGAAATGGTGAAATGGTATAAGTTTAATGTCCCTATCAACACTATCAGGTTATCTTTTAAGAGGCGAGCCGTGGGTAAAGGGGAAAAGTAAAGTATAATCCTCCAATCCCTCACTTGTTATATGAATACACTCATGCAGTTGTGCTAAAAATATTATGTTCAGAACTACCGATGTCTCTTATGAGGTCATGAGAGAAAGGCTATTTTTACCATTTCTATTTTCTATATTTTCTTTATGATCTGTGCTTATAAAGTTACCCTTTTCTTTCCGAGCAGACATAAATGAATGTGATGGAAACCCTTGCCCGCAGAACGAGGTGTGTAGCAACTCTTTTGGCTCTTACAGCTGTTCTTGTGCTGCTGGATTTGTCCGCTCTGCATCTGTGTGTACAGGTGAAGTAAAAGAAAACCAATACTTATTTCCTTTTTTCTCAGTTCAATAGCTTCTTTGTTGGCCGCGCAGTCTTCTTAGATGTTGATAATCGTCGGCCTTGTGATAAACCGACTAACCCCAGCGGGGTAAATTTTACAGGAGAAGGAAAAAAACTGTTTTATTTGAAAACAAATGTGTCTAATGATAAACCGGTGCTTTAAACACCTATAAAAACACTTTACAGAAAAACTGTAGACCTTTTTTCCCTTTAAAAATCGCTTTTAATGAAACTGCGTGGGTTGGACGGTTATGTCGCTCAAATTTTTCAAGATAAAAACGACCTACTCTCAATTTTGTGGGTTGGTCGGTTTTATCAGGAAGCCACTGCTGGGCTTGAGCACAGCCAAGCCGCACTTGCCGGTAACATATTTGATCTGTTGTTTCAATCGTGATCTTTTGTGTTACATGTATCATCAGAAGATGAAGGAGGAGGAGGAGTTGAAACGGAATTGTGAGAGAAAACATTATACATGCGACAGACTTCTTCCTCTATGTTCTGCACAGAATGATCAACAAGTCTACTTTTTACTTCACTGAGAAATGGTCTAGTACTTCCAACATTTTGAGAAAACCAGGCATATCCAAAACCCAGGGAAAATAATAGGTTTTTAACTTCTGTAGCCCAGTTGACTCTGCCCACCTCACAGGAGCAATATAATTGCATGTAACATTTCTTGGATATCTGTCATTTTCTAAGTGTATAAGTCTGCTCCAGAATTTAATGACACAATGCATGTAATCAGAACATAAGTTGGTTCTTCCCACTTCTCTTAGAACTAAACATTTGGGTGTAGTTTTGCCAAGACCCAAAAAGGCTTTCCAGAACTTTACCTGAACATGATCAATCACGTCCCAATTTTTGGTACCCCAAATTTGAGAGCCATAAAGCAGCATTGGTTTGATCTTTACATCAAAAATGTTTTTTGCTGTTTTGAAATTTAATTCTTGGTAAGAACCGAAAAGCCTTCTTGTTCGAGAAACAATCCGTTCAGCTTTACCAGCTCGATCTTCCAGCGTTCGTCTCCAGCGCAGACGCGATGAAAATGAAATGCCCAAGTAACTATAATAGGCTACTGTCTCTATGATCTTATCTTCCCAATACCTTCTCTCAGATCTTTTGAGATAGCATCCATTTCTAAAAACTACAATCTTACTTTTCTCTATATTCACTTTTAAACCCCACATCTGGCAGAAATCATGTAACACATTGATTTTCTTTTGTAAACCTCTGACATTGTCGTCAAAAAGACTTAGGTCATCAGCGTACATTAAACATAAAATACCATCATTATTATTGGGCAATACCTGTATAGCAGGGTATTTGAATCTGAAAGGTGTTTTTCAAATTGAGATGTAAACAAAGAAAATAATATAAGGCTAAGTATGCAGCCTTGTTTGACACCTGATGTACATTGGAAGTATTCAGTAATATAAAAATTAATGGATCCTCTTTCATCTGAACAGATTTTAACACATGAAAGAACACTTTGATGCACATTTTCCAGAATGGTACACATTGGTCCAGAGCAGCCAAGACTTCTCAATACTGTCCAAAGCTTTTCTCTGTCAACCCAGTCAAATGCTTTTAAAAAGTCGACAAAACATACATAGAACCTTCCGCCAGGCTTGGAGATATATTTTTGGACTAAAGATTGGAGTGAAAATATATGATCTATTGTAGAGTAATTTTGTCTAAAACCGACCTGAGATTCAGGGATGAGGTTACCTTCATCACACCATTGTTGCAGTCTCCTATTCAATATGAATGAGAATAATTTACCAAGAACATTTAGTAAACTAATACCCCTATAGTTATTTACATCCTTTGTTTTCTTTTTTGTACAAACTAAATATCATAGACTTGGTCCACTCCTCTGGATAGTTGCCTGTGAAGAAAACTGAATTGAAAAGAGATAGGAGAAATTCAGCCAGAGATAGGAGAAATTCAGCCTGGTCCTGGCAACTGAATTTGTAAAATTCCGGTGGCGGCGATAGGCCGTCAGGTCCACATGCCTTGCCAGATTTTAAATTATTTATAGCCAATACAATTTTGTCTCTTGAAATGGGTGAATTTAACAAATCACCTGGCTCACCACAAGGGGAGGCATGAGACTGTAAGGAAACAGATGCGTTCAAGCTGGTTGACACATCATTTCCATTGGCGTTACCACCTGACCCCAAGAGGGGGTTTAGCAATTTCTCAAAATAGACATACCATTCTCTGGGTTTGATAGTATTCTTTGTTACCGGGTTTTTACACAAAAGGATATTGACTGCTTTCCAAAAATCTCTCGAATTGCGCTTCAAACAATTCTGAATAAGAATTTGAATTTGTAATTGTGTATACTATGATTTTTTACATTTACAGAGGTTTTTAAATTTCTTTTTCAAAGCGAGATAGTTATGCTTCAAACAAGCATCTAATATCAAAAAAAGATGCTTTTGAAATACCAGCATTGTCACGAGATAAACAGTTCTGTGCGAACAGTGGGGAGTTTTAGTCATTAATTACATTATCGGCACATTAAAACAAAGAAAAAAGAGGAAACAATCAGATTTATATAACTCCCCAATGAAACCAACAAGAAATATTATGCAAATATTCCTTTTTGGAGAGCTCCCACGGTTCCTTGAGCAAATTCTGGACTATTACAGGTCTGAATCTGATGTCAAACGAAGTCTGGAGATGAATCGAAGCCGGGGTTAGTCGGTAACGTAGCACATGGCCCCTCATTGTTAACGTGACAAAAAGAGCCAACGCTCATTCCCTCCCTCGCAAGTGGGATAGTCGGAATTATCGGGCTAAAATCCGACGGGTGCTGGGTTATACGGTTTTATTTCTAATGTTTTAAAGATATTTCTAGACAAAATTCAGACCTGTCTTTGAGTGAGCATATGAAATGGACAATTTACTATCGATAGGGCCAATGGAAAGTTTTTTTATATTTTGTGGGTCAGTCGGTTTTATCACAAGGCCGACTTAATGCTAATGTGTTTATTGGTTTTGCATGCCTATGATCTTAAATAGTTACATTTCTATGTTGATTGTTTTCATTTTCACTTTTCAAGACTATTTTCTAAGGTAACTTCCACATTGATGGTATGTATATTTTTTAATGTCTGGGTCAATAGACTATACTTCTGTTATCCTATTCAAAAAGCCTTTTGACTTTTCATTATATTCAGGGCACGTTAACTACCCAGAATGATATAAGCTATAGATTCATTTATAAGGCACCAGCCGAAAACAAGGAACACAGCAACTGGTTGTCTTGATAGATTGGTTGATGATATGTGCAAGATTGTCAGCTTTCTTTATTTTGATACATATTCAATTACAATGACACATAGTGTTAATTAGAATGACTAAACTCCATGGTTGATCCCAACAGAATTCTTGATTTTGTAAAAGTCATTGGTCTTTTTCAGAAAATGTAAATTGTTGTTATTTTAGAAATGTGAATTACAATGTCCTTTCCTAGAGATGATCCCTGTCTTTGTCATGGGTAGACATTGTGACACACAGAGCTCAACTAGGCTTTTTTGCTTCTTTTGCTATCCTGTGCTTTCAAGACTGTTGTATTCATAACTTTGCAACGACTTACTTTTGAAGTGTTGTAGTGTTTTCTCAATTTACTTTTTCTATATTCTATTGTTGATGTTAAAACATAATGAAAACTATTTCTTTCTATATAGATGTCAATGAATGTGAAGGAAACCCATGCCAGGTGAATGAGATTTGTATCAACACAATTGGCTCTTACACATGTCCGTGTGCTACTGGATTTGCTTCTGGAACCACAGGGTGTACAGGTAATCAATGGACTAACAGGACTTGCTTTGTCTTTCAACTCATAATAATTTACATTTAAGTTTGATTTATCTTTGAATTTAATTACTTTCTCATAGCTCCAATGTCAACTGTATTTGTCCTCAAAAAATGAGAAAAACCCCCGGGGCAGTGCTACTGACTGAAGTGACTTTAGGCCATTCCCAAAGGGGGAACTTAGTAGAATTGTAAATGGGCTGATTCATCAATGTCATGCTCATAACTATGCCTGAACTGCTTACGAGAAAGTGCTGCTTTTTTTTTTTCCAAATCCTTACTATCGTCATTTTCCTCTACTTCTTTTGTATATTTGGCACTCTCTTGTGACCCACTATTTCCAGGGTGCCTTGATAGTCGAAGCAGACTTTGTGCTGTTGAAGCTACAGAGGTGAGCAGAGTTAGCCTGTTTCCCTGTATGGACTTCTCTGTTGATATCCACCCCTTGGCGCTCATATGACCTTATACAGTTGCAAGCGCCGTAAAAACGGCTAAAACTAAAAAAAACTAAAATGTTTGAGAAATAACAGAGTCATTATTGATTGGAAATACCCTTTGGATCCTTGATTGCATTTACACTTGTGTTTGTGTATGTGTGTGTGTGTGTTTGTGTGTATGTGTGTTTGTGTACGTGAGTGAGTGTGTTGTGTATGCTTGTGTGTATGGGTGTTTGATTAAAGGCTAAATGTTCACCTTAGCTTTACTTTTTAAGAGTAAAATGGTGGAAAGGGCTAATAAACTAACAAACAAAAATTTTCAGGTTAATATTTCATAAATATTATCATCAAGTACCGTACGATAATGAATTTGTGGATTTGTAATATTTGGTATGAAAACACACCTTTCTGCAGGCATAATTTTATGAATTAGGCTACATTTTATGTGATTTATTAGAAATTTCAGAGTAGCTGTGTTTATTGTAGATGTGTTTCAGACACAATTGTTAAGAGAAATGGTAAGCACAATGTGATTCGAGAGTCATCACATAAGAGGTTAGTAAAAACTTACTGAATGGAACAATTGCAAAAATCTGTTTTTTGAGTAAATGGCCTCACAAAGCCAAGAAGAAATGGTCTTGACATATTTGAACATGAAAAAAACAAATGCTTTTGTAGAGATCATTTTGCTTGATGATAATCAATCTCCATATTTGCCCAGATGTGGATGAATGTGAGCAGACTGTTTGCCGAACCAATGAGGAGTGTGCTAACATTCCGGGATCTTACCAATGCACCTGTGCTACTGGCTATCAGCGCAGCCAGTTTGGCCTGTGTGAAGGTGAGTTTTTACAGGCCAGCATCAATATCCCATTCATTTTAGGCTAAGATATTAGACTGCATTTAAAATTGCTGTTTAACACAACCGTGCAAATTACCAAAATGTATAAATGACATATTCTTTCATTTTTCTGTTGAACTGTTATTGCTCAATGTCCCCATCTACAACCTAACTTTGTTTACCCATGCACTAGTGTGGGGAGGATGGATGAAGGGGAGGGGTTCATTACCCACAGACGCAGTCAGAGTGAGAGAGTAAGGAACAGCTGTGTGAACGGATTTCAAACCTCAAGATATTCGTTTTGGGTCCACTGCATGATTTTATGCATTTATTCACTCGACATGCAGTATTATTTGTTACATTGTTTCAAGCCCACAGCAGGGCCAGAGGCAATGAGAGGCTGGTGATGTATCACTGTGTGTGTTACTTCTTTCACTGCATGTGTGAATCGCACAGTGCGCATTCTAATTTGCTGCATAGGTGAAGTTTTAAAGATTCCAATAGGTCTTGAAAACGAAAATCCTGCCATCAATGGTACTTAACTAAAATGTTCTAACCTAACACAACAAGGAGCGTGTGCTTTGTGGGAAAGGGGGGGGGGGTGCATTTGTCGTGGATTATGTGTAGTGTCAAACTTTCGTGAATGCATCTCAATTTGCATGACATAGACTAGTGCATGATGTAGTAATAGTACTTTTAGTATGCCATGCAAAGCAGTCTCCTCCATCTATCCATCCATCCATCCATCCACCCATCCATCTATCCATACACTTGCTTGCAAAACAAATGGTTGACTCTAAGCCAGAGGTGTAGCAAACAAAGCTTCACAAGCAAGCTATTCATCATCCATCCATTTGTTTGTGAGAATTACCAGTGAACAATTCGTTACCAGCAGTCTCTGAATTAACGAGCCTGACCCAACACTACTATGCGCTGAGATGTTAACCAAATGGCACTGTAACGCCAATTCAATTGTATAAGGTAATCACCTTGTCTGATATTCAATGGGCATTCCATTATGTTGACTAGGTGCCATATTTCTCGCTTGAAAACATCCACATAAGTGTGCACACACATGTATGTGCTTTTAAGTAAAGACACATACCTTACCTATAGTTTTGTTCACAAGCAGATTTTTTCTTTCCTTTTTTTGTGCCCATTTTGCTAAAGAGAAGAAGACTTTATGTTGTTGTATAGTTGACATGCAGTGAGTGAGAATGTGTTGGTTTTGTTGTTGTTGTTTGTTTGTTTTTTTTGGGGGGGTTGCGTAATCTATTTTTGATGTAAGTTTTATTTTCATTCTCTTGTTAGATGTGGATGAATGTGATCAGAACCCATGCCAAGCTAATGCGGGATGTACTAACAACGATGGATCATTTTCATGTTCCTGTAACACTGGCTACAAGAGTGATGTGACTGGCACATCATGTGTAGGTAGGTACAAAGTGTGCTTGTCAGTAGTCAGTGTGGTAGTGAAGAAACGATCTGAGGAAAAAAAGTCTAGATTGTGTCAAAGTGCAGTCATAACTGAGTCCTGTCTGTAGGAACATTACTCATATATACATACTGGCATATGCGTGTTCTCATAGAATTACAGGGCCGCACATATACAAATAGGGTCTAATGTAGTTGTCGTTTTTTTTCTAAAGATCAAAAAGATAGTATTTCAAGACTACTTTGTTTATTCCCAAAGACACATTTGCTTCCCATGTATAGGACTATTATAATACTACCAGTTACTGAGCAGAGAGTAAAGACTAACATAATCATTGTTTTCCATTATTCCAGTATCATTACATATTTGTTTTGATATAAGAGTACCTGTTATCTAGCAGCAAGAAAAGACTTGTTTTTGTAGTTTTCCATTATTCCAATATCACTAGATTTTAATTTCCCCTATTTTTTCTCAACAGACATAGATGAATGTGATACTGATCCATGCAAGGAAAACTCACGATGTGTCAACTCTGTGGGCTCTTTTAGCTGTCCGTGTGTTACTGGATTTATTTCTGATGGGTTTGAGTGTAAAGGTAATAAGAAAGAAAAGAAACTTACTTTTATATCACTTCTTTCCTTTTCACCCTTTTCAAAACTCATATGGTGACTCAACCTTGCCGCATATTATGCTCTCATGGCGTAAAAGTTAAGGTTTTCGCTTGTCATTCAATAGGTCACAGGATAATCCGGATAGCGATGGAAAATTTACTTCTCTAAGATTTCTCTAAAGTGGCCTAGTGGTTAGGCTCTCGGATTCACAACCTTAAGGTCGTGTGTTCGAATCCCGTCAGGGGCCCGACGTGGTCTTGGGAAAGGCACTTTGCACAAATTTTCCTCACTTCACCCAAGTGGAAATGGGTATCCGGCTATAGACAGTGAACGATCTTGTCAGTTTGATAGTGTTTGAGCGCATGAAATCCGCAGCTTGCACTGTATGCTTCCGCGGAAGCCGAGAATGTTTCTGAGTGTTCTCAGAGGGTCTGCTTGGGTAATAATGGTTGTAAAGCACTTAGAGCATGCTCTTGAGCATGGATATGCGCTATATAAATGCAATTATTATAATGTTCTCCTTTCACATCCTTTCCTGCTCTCTAACAATACTCTGACATCTGTTTTCGTCTCCACTTTCTGCCCCCACCACACCCCCTCCCCTCCATTGTCCCCCTCTGGGCTCCTGACTCTTTCTGCAGCCTTTCTACTCCTACTCCTTTGCTCCTTCTTACTGCTGTCTTTCAGCCACACCCCTGATCTTATGGTAGGAAAGATCGACACCTAGCCTTCTCAGACAAGGGGGAAAAATCTCGGAAATCTCGTGTGCAAGTTGCGCTCATTAAAGATCTCTTGGTGGTCCAAAATCGATAAGAGTAGGCCTCGGCCGCCACATGGGCAAAATTCAAAATTTCCTACCAGCTGAAGATGACTTTATGCAGTTGCGAGGACCATAAAACATGGACCAAAAACTACCCCCCCAAAACATTATGCAGTGTTGAAGTTTAGGTAGTGTGCACTATGATAGATGTACAACAATCAAATGTGTAGTGTATATGACATATTTGAGATTACTGCCATGATCAAATGTTTGCGACTAGATATAAACCTTTTTTGGCAAAATGCAGCCGTTATTTTGCTCATTTGCCATGAAATCCAACTCCAGGAGCAACACAGATCCCCCAATTTGGATACTCAACTCTTTTTTTTTTTGCCCAGAGGTTACTCAGATAGTGTGAACAGGTTATTCATCTAATTTTTGTGTGTCTTGCAATTCAATCATATGTGACTGTAAGCTACAATCATGAACAATGTCTGAATCAGTTGATTGCTTGCTTATATTTGCTTGTCTCATGACATAAACATTGATTGTGGGTGGTTGGTGAATGCTCTGATGTGGTTTGCTCCTTCTTTCCTATTAAACATCTATCATTCTTATTTCTCCTTCTTTCATGAATTTGTTACTCTCTTGTAACACCTTTAATCTTTGGCACTTGCATGAACTAATTGTGTCGCAAGTGCCATAAAATGATTACTTAAATTATAAAAAAAATGTAAAAAATAAACATTGAATTTGCTTTCCCTCTGTATGAAACCAGAACCATTCATCCACAGTGAGGAATACGGTCTGACAGGGAATGGGTTAAGAGGGATTAGATCTTCTGTGACAGAGAAAGTTGAGACTCTCACAACTCAGACAAATTCAGTGTTTATGCCATTGGTACAAAAAAGCTTTTTGCTATGAGTATGGATTGTCTCATTATGACATGTTGTTACAAGATATGAATTCTGTGTTACTATTTTCCATTTCCTTATTGTTTTGATAATGTTGAAATATAATAGAAACTTCCTTTTTGAACAGATGAGGATGAATGTCTGAAAAACCCATGTAGCGGGAATACAGTGTGTAACAACAATGTGGGCTCCTTCAGTTGTGACTGTGCACCAGGCTTTGTCTTAAGTGGACAAACATGCATTGGTAAGACATTGCTCCCCCTTGCTATTCTATCTTTTTTTAAGTTTTATGCCAGTTTTGTATGTTGATTCTGTGACTGACTTACAAAAGTCTCAAAGTATCATTACAAACAAGGCAATATCTGCATTGACTGCAACAAATTTGTTGTTTTTTTTAGCTTGTATTTACTTACCTTACTTTTGTCCTAGAATTGTCTCTGACAAGTTAGAAGTTGACATTAAACTTGACACTAAGGGGCTGTCTTTGGTTTTGAGGTACGGTCTTTATTTTTCATTCAAAAAGTCCCTGCATTGAAACCTAACAGGGACCCAAAAAAATCATCTCTAAAGTGTTCTCCTGTCACCATCTTTCCTGTTCTGCGATTTGCTTTCATCTCCACTTCCTTTTCCTATCTCTGGCCTCCTCTGGGCTATTGTCTCCTTTACTCCTGACTCTTTCTACCCCTACTGCTGACTCCTTCTTTGTGCTGTCTTTCTGTCACACCCCTGATCTCAAGGTTAGTAAGATGGACCATCTAGCCTTCTCGGATAAGGGAGAAAATTTTGGAGGTCCTGTGTGCAAGTTGCACAGGTTAAAGATCCCTTGGTAATCCTAAAATCAATTAATTCAAATAAAAAATTAATTCATACCAAAACTGAGAATACTTTAGACGGTATAAAAACATATAGAGTGCCATCGAAATGGAAATGTGGCTGCCTAAAGGCAAAGGGGGCCCTACAAAATAGAAAAAACTGTCACATACCTTAAAATCACTTGCACCATAGTTTGAAGAACCAGCAGTCAAACTCTAGTAGGGCAAAAGCAAAGAAGAAAAAGAAGAAACTTGACACTACATGTTCCCTGTACAGATATTTTGAAAATGTAATTTGAAAGCTTTGCATGTTTGTTAATTGATCTGTCACTGTTATCAGTCAAAGGAAAAAAAAATCACTTTTCTAAAATGTACATGTCAGAAAAAGTGAGCTGTTCCTGTAAAAAGGAAACCTTGCGCTAACTTGGCCAATCAAACCTGTTTTCTAAATTTATGATCATTATCTTCCTTGCTACCCAAGCACCCACTCTCTGACACACTACTCACTGTATTACCTCTGCCCCCAACCACCTGCTTAAAGGATGGACTGAGGAAACCCAAAATGATTACCCTCCTTTTTGTGTATCAATATAATAGTAATAGCTAATATATGTTCCCATTGTTGCTGTGGAGTTCCCTGAAAATAAATTTAAATGAAATGACTTAATGCTTTTAATGGACTGTTGCTTTGGTCCCCCTCGTTTTCTTTGTTGTGAATAGTTTCTTAAGCTCAGATAATGAAGACACAGTCTGAATGGTTGTGTTTATTATAGACCCTTTAGAGTCTGTATACAGCACAATTCCAGCTAAATGTGGATGAAAAGCACCAACTTATCTCCAAGACTTTTTTTTAAAATGTGGCTCAGATTCCAAAACTTTAACTTGTTTTCAGTAATTTTAAACTGTGTCTCACTACAGCATTGATTGGGATTACATTTATTGTCATAATTGTGTCTCTGATAGCATGAAGTCAAAGCAACAACTTCATAGAAATGACTTTTGATTAACTTGTGTCTGTGGTATAGCAGTTTTGCGCTTTGCTATTGCATGTAGAAGCTGTGAGTTTGATATCTGCGTGGTGTGCTTTTCATCAAGTATCTTAGTTTTCCTGTTGGGAAGTATCCCTCTCAACCTGGTTGGCCCTGACAGGTAGGGTTGTAGCAGCCCACCTCGTAAATTATCTAAATTGTATAGATGGGGGCTTGAAAGATCTGCAATTGCAGAACTCATTATTCAGAGGATAGTCATGGATGGCAGTAGCTGGTTGCTGTCTGACTCTAGCGTCACTGATTTTTGTTCTCTGTGTGCTTGTCGTTTCTAAGAACATCCATCATCAGTGGGACAGGTCATTTTGATGGGGAATAGAACACACATATTTTGTGTGATGCTTGTTATCATGCCCTGATAGCTGATCTAACATCTACAAACTATGTGGGAATTAAAGGGCTTGGTTTGATGCAGATTTAATATTGAACAAAAAAGCCTTCCGAAATTTGATAGAATGTATCCCCATGGGAAAAGGTTCAATGGAGGAGGGCATCTACGTTTACATATCGGGAAAGCCAGAAATCATTATCACATTGTCCAATATGAGTGCATAATAGGGAAGGATGTGAAAGTATATCCTCAGGTCTTGGCAGATAAATTTCCTTTGATTGAAAAAACTGGTAAATGATGGACATTACGATTAAGAACATGTACTTACTCCCCTGAGAAAATTGCAGAAGTGTGTTTCCTGATAAATTGACACCAGCAAAAGTTGATAGTGGATGACTATGGTTAACACACATACTAATAAAGAATAATGACCGTGTGGTTTTTGGAACTCTTCATTTGATGATGAAAACTTTCAATCTTTGCCCAGATGTAAACGAATGCAGTCAAAACCCATGCTCTGCCAATGAGGATTGTACCAACAATGAAGGATCATACGTGTGTTCCTGTTCTGCTGGTTATGAGCGTGATGTGAATTCGACATGTATAGGTGAGTACCAGGAGTGTTTAACAGTGAGCAGAACTATGCAACTAAAAAGTAATTATTTGCCAAGCTTTGTTTCATGTTAGAAATAAGAGTTTTAAACCCATCAATAATTATACAAGTGAAGTTAAAGAAAAATCAAAAGGATGTACTGTATTTATTTTTTTTAAATTCAACCCATGATAAGAGTATCTGCTTATTTTCTCTATTTAGAATGATGCAGGGATTTATGTTTTCCCTAATCAAAAAGCCATCTTTGCAGGATTTGTGTTTTCCCAAATCAAAAAGTCATATTTGCAGTAGCATTATGATTGCTAGATAGGTCTTGCTTTGAGAGCAATCAATAACAAAGACACACTCACAAACATTGCTGCTTTGATATTGCATAATCTGTGCTTGGCAGACTTTGTCAATTCTGCTGATGGCCATAGTTTGGGATATTTTTCAGTTTGCTCACCCCTCGAAGAAATACTCTTTAAAAATGTTTTTAAGAATTATATTATTGAAAGTCAGCCCGTCATTTTGGGCTGTTTTGAGTTTTAACTTTAAAAGTATGCTTTAGTCATATTGCAGAAATGGTAAAATGATGATAGGTATTTCCATGAGCCTCCTTACTACCTTTTAACTGAAGGCTGTCTATTTGTAGAATAGAGTGAAACTCTCTACGAAATCAAGTCACTTCCTCATTGAGTGGGAAAGTAGATTGAGGGGTTGGAATAGGGGTGGAATCACACATGTACTTGCTATCGTCTGTGAATTCCTGTTGATAATGTTCAATGTAATTTCAAAGGCTTGTGATAAAGCAGTGTCTCTTGTATCTGAACAGACCAAGATGAATGTCAGAGAACTCCATGCGGGCTAGTTGAAACCTGCAGAAACACTGTTGGATCTTACACTTGCAATTGTATAGCTGGCTATGAGCGTGTTGTCCTTGGAGCCGAGTGTACAGGTAAAACGTTATAGTCCACGGTAATTACAATCTCTTTGGTCTTTTGCGTTGAAGTTTGTGAGGGATATCACAGACTGTTGACATTCTCGATACATTTTTTGGTTTCACAGCATAAATGTGAAGTATATTCAGACTCTTATGAGACTTATTCATTTGAGCCAGTGTCCAGGAGCTTTATGTTTAACAAAGACTTTTTTAAAAGATAGTGCACCTACTATAGTCAAAGGAAAGCAGGCCTGCCCAGGAAAAATGTGACATTAAATGCCAGCCAAAATTCAAGCACAGGATTTTTGTATCAACTGACAACGAAATGTAATTCATCCATATAGGGGGAAAATAATTTCACACTCTAGTGCAATCTAAGCTTCTCTCTGATTAGTATAATAGCCGGGAATATGCCTTAAAACGCTTGTCAGTTATGATGACATAAACTTGTTGAAGTAAGTTATGAGGTTGATCTGAGCAACAGTGAGATACATGCAGATAGAGAAGGAAAAATATGAAAAAACTTTGACATAAGTCATATGTGACGCATAGTGATTTGAGATATGAATTACAGCAATTTTTTTTAGACTGGTCTAGTAAACTATAAAGTAAATGCTTTCAATTGTGCTGATGAGACTGGTTTAATAAGAAGAATTCCTTCTAACCTAATAACTACCGTAGCTAGTAACTTCATTAAAGTCATTTATCTCCCCTCACACCCATTCTTACTACCTTAACCCTTTAAGTAAAGATGGAGGGTGTTTGTTTTTTTCTCCTTGCTCTGTTATGATGAGGTTTAGACAGCTCTGATGGCACGATGTCATTGAAAGTACAAAAAAGCCCTTCTATGCAAACGGACACAATGTCCTTTCCAGCCTCAAATCTACGCAACTTTTCAGATGCATCACTAGCATTACTTTTCAAACCCAGATATTTTTTAAATTCTGTTAACCATTAAGTGGTGGGATGGCATGTCAAGTGCAAAATGTATGACATGGCATTACATTTGCATCTGTAGAACTTAATATGCAAAACCTGAAAATTGTTTAATTCTGCTCAAATGTTAAAAGTATACAGTTACATTTCCAGCACAAAGATACGATTCTTTCCATACAGACACAAACATGAAGACACAAAGATGATTGCCATACAGACACAAACATGAAGACACAAAGATGATTGAACTACTATTAGACTTTTTGTAAAGGCACAAAGAAGATTGAACTACCTTCTGTACAGACACAAGAATGACTGAACTACTGTCTGTAAGACCTCCAGTAAAGACACAAAGTTAAGACTGAACTATTAGACCTCCCCTAGAGACTCGAGAATGATCAAACTACAGTCAAACCTGCCCTGACAGCCACCTCTATAAGACGGCCACCTGTACAAACGGCCACTTTCCATTTTCCCCCTTGCATTTTTCCTATATAATTTAACTGTGTAAAACGGGCACCTGTCCAACGCGGCCACGGCAACCATAATTTAACACACAACCTCTATCACACTAAGCAATAACACCTGTCTTAGACGGCTACCTTAGTGACTCCATTACGTTTTGTCATAAATTGTACATTGGCCCCTGGCGTTGTGGGTGAGCCGTCATAATTCAATCACCTGTTGTTGTTGTCAGGTAGTTCTGCAACCGATCATGACCAATAGCTACCAATTTTCAGCTGCTGGTGAGGTAAGCGTGTGATCCCTCACAACCCATAAGCCCCGCCCAGAACTCAAACACAAATCGTAAGTGAGATCAGTGGTCACTGTTTACCCAGTCTGTAACAAAGTAACACTGGATGTCAACATGATCTTGTGACAGGAGCGTCACTCGTTCTCCGAGTGGTGGCGACCCATGTGTTTGTTTTAACATGGCACTCGGTCTTCCTTGTCTGATACATTTCGTTTTATTGTCACCCTTGTGCAAAATCAGCAACAAAATAAAAATTACAAACAAAATACACACCAACAACAACAAAACAACAACAACAGTGCAGCTACTTTCGATCAGGACCTCAGATGGGAATGGTTTGTTTTCTTCATCTGTATCAATCCTGCCTAAGATGGCCGCCTGTCTCATACGGCCACTTTTCTCCTTGACAATGGGTGGCGGTCTTACACAGGTTTGACTGTACTAATAGATTTCCCATAAGACACAACAAGAATGATTAAATTACTAATAGACTTCCCGTAAAGATACAAAGTTGTTGAACTACTGTTAGACCTCCCAAACAGACACAAGAATGATTTATCTACTAATAGACTTCCCGTGAAGACACAAGGAAGATTGAACTACTATTAGAATTCCAGTAAAGACACAAAAATAATTGAACTAGTAACCTTGATATGGTGGGTGGGGGGAACCTCTAATCTTTTTGACTTATAATTGTTTTGCAATTGTCATAAAACTGTTATATAAACTTTTTTTTAAAGCAACAACTTCAATTATGAATGGGCACCATAACTTACAGATTATATAAATACCCTTCAGTTGCTTCCCAAGTGCAAAAATGACTCATTTGTTTTTGAAGCCCTGTATTACACCTTAACAACATACAGACCTTTACCACTTTACCACTGAAATACTTAAGCCTACCCATCTTTTTTACTAAGTGAAATATGAGGCATTGTGATAAAACCAGGCGCTCTTCAAAATAATGAAATCAAAGAAAACTGCATTTTTTGGCCAGTTTGACAACATTGAATTTTTGTTTTTTGGATCAACACCTTTATTGTCTTTTTAAAAGCATATTTCTATGCGGATTTTACTGAAAAAAAGTTGATTAAAAGCATAGCAAAAGTATATTTTCAGTTTTCAAGGGCTCTCAAGCTATGTAAGTCACCAAAATTAGGCAGCAATTTTCTCGCTAATATTACATCTGAAGTCAGGCGACTCCCACCTCCTTCAATCAAAAATATATCAGCTTCTATTCAAGATAGATGGGTATTATTTTCATCTAAAGCAAGACAAATAAACGAGCTTTAAGATGATATTAATATCTCAACATAACCAAAATTGACGAGCACCTTGTTCCACTGCATTGTATCACAAATTTTGTTTTATGATCACTTTCCTGAATAATCTATATTGTTCTTTGTCTTCATGCAGATAAGAATGAATGTCTTACTTCCCCTTGTGGTGTCAATGAAGACTGCACTAATTCTGTGGGATCCTTCTCCTGTTCCTGTTCTGATGGTTACAACAGGACCACCCCTGCAGACCCCTGTCAAGGTTAGCACAAACCATGAAGTCATACTCTCTGTGTTTTGCTCTCGCCATGTAACCGGAAGAAATATGTGATAATAATGATAATATAATAATAATATAACGATAACAATAATTGCATTTATAGGTGCATATTCACACTCTACAGCATGCTCTATTTTCTCCACTTCAGCCCAGGTGGGAATGGGTTCTTAGCTATAGACAGTGAAAGATCTTGTCTGTTTGTTAGTGTTTTAGCCCTTTATTGAGTGCTTGGGCCGTATATTTCCATTTGAAGCCGAAAATGTTTCTGAATGTTCCAGGTCTGCTGAGGTATACCAGGTGACCAGAATAAAAGTTTGTCAAAAAGAAAGCCAATAAAACATTTTAAAAATAAAGGTACCAACGCCAAAGTTTGCAGAAACGTGGGACGTCCGTTGTTTTAAAAAAAAATGTATAAATGACTATAAAAATGACAGCCTCAAACAAAATTACAACATAGCTTCCAGATACCTCCAATTTCGAGTAAAGCACATTGTGACACGCTGAGTGAAATTGACAATCAGGCATTAACACTTCATAGGGGAAATCTCTTTCGTGTCCTCCACCATGATGGTTTCTTTTGAGTCTTGGATACTTTTTAAGGTTTTCCCACACACTCTGTCTATCAAACACCCCCAACTGGGAAATTCCAGTGGGCTCGGGTCTCAATTCTTTGGAGCCCAATTGTGCTCAGTCAGACTGACTGTCCTGTAACCAAAATTGTTGCTGATCTATCGCTGAGCAGCTCTAGTATCATGAGAAGCAGCCCCATCTTGCTGAATGTTCAGGTTCTGTCTCCCTTCCTCCTCAACAAATTGTCCCAAGCTTCTACAGAACTTTGATAAAATGATACGGTATTGGTCAGAGCTCACCAAATCATAGACCACCCTAACCTTTTCAAAAGTGTTGTTTTTCAGGCTATCTATCGTGTGTCGCTCGGGACTTTTTGAATTTGAGTTCTTATTTTCTATGGACCCACATATTTCAAAATGTGCAGCCCATGTCAAAATGGACCTTTTCCTAGTAACATTATGTTTGTTACAGATATCTATCTCACATACCTGAGCAAATAATGCACAAGTAGATTTGGAGATTTCGTTTGCCGATATATCTTGACTGCAAAATCATGATGTACAGGGGGGAACTTCTTTATCATCATTCTGTGGTGCATCAGCTATGAACTTTTTGAATAACATGTTCCGGGTGTATATTTTAGCTTTCAGTCAATTTTGATGTCATTTGGATCGTATACAAAGAAGTTATTAACATTTCTTTGAAAAAAAATTTTTTTCTGGTCAGCTGGTACTTGTAGATTGTCAAATGCAGAGAGCTTGAATTGCTATTGAGCGGGTATATGTACTATACAAACACTATTTATTATTAATCATTTATTATCGTTATTAATTTCTTTTGTTCTGTAAGCGTTATCAAGATTAAACTGCGGATCCTCAATATGTCAGCACACAGATTAACCTGTATCAAATACTAGGAGGCTAACTTTCGTGCCTTTTCTCATCATTTTAGTGAGATATAAGGGTTTTGAGTGTGTGTTGAAAAACTTTTTAAAAACACTATGGATGGAGCATAACATGATGAATATATTGCTAACAAAAATGCTTTCTTTTTAAAAATTGTTGCTTTTGAATATGAATGATTTTAAAGGGTGGTGAATGAAATGCCAAATAGCTTAAATGACATGAAGAAATCTTCAAAATAGTTACTATATTTCATTACATTTTCAATGTCTTGGGATCCCATTCTCGCTGCAAAGAGCTGAAAATTCATGAATTTTAAAAAATGTTTTCAATTATTTGTGTTCAGGCGTATTTTAGTATAACTGATGATATGAAAGTTATGAAGACTTTCATCATGTGAATTGTTTTAGTTTGAATGCGTTATAGTCAGAGGTTTTTTTTTTTTTACAAATGGAAAATATATGGGGATTTTTTTCAGATATTGACGAGTGTGAAGGAGTATCCCCATGCCTATCAAGGCAGGTATGCAGCAACACAGATGGCTCTTTTGAATGTGTCTGTCCAGAAGGTTCTCAGCCTGATGCTGCAAACAACTGTCCAGGTCAGTTTGACAAAATAGTTGGTTAGTCTTCTGCCAGGGGACTCAGATTTTTTTTCCCTTTTTTATCAACCCCTCTTACTCCCATGTTGCGAACTGTATGTTTCACTACCACTATTGTTGTCTATTAGACACAATCTGGAAGCTGTAGTCTATTAGACACAAACTGGAAGCTGTAGTAGTGCCTCAACTTTATCTGAAGAAAAAAGTTACTTGCATGAGGAGAATAGTGATGAAGTGATGTCTTGAGCCCATAGAATATATCATGATCTAGCCCTTTCTATGCCATCATATATTATTAACATACCATGATAATGACTTACATAACTCTCAGATAGACAATGGACTGACCTACCTTGCTGTTCCTTATTCTATGGCATTCATCCCACATAGTCATAAAGCTGTGTAAATACGCCAACAATTTTTTAGATTTGAAAATGAAATTCATTAATTCAAAAGTCAGAAAAAGACACAAAATCAGACAGTTGATGTATTGGGAAAAAAATGCTTGATCAAGGTGATTATTCCAGCATCTAGAAAATATTTGATCACTTGTAGCCAAAAGTTAGCTTTATAAACACATCCCTCTGTGGATTTTTACTGAAAAACGTCAAATGCACAAAATATAAATGCTTTGTTTCCAAGGACACCACAGCTTTAGAAATCGCCAAACTTAGGCGGCCTTTTTCTCACTGATTTTACCTCTAAAACCAGGGGCCCCCACCCTCTTCAATTGTAAATATCTCAACTTCTATTCAATATAGATGAATTGTTTTTATTTTATCCAAAGCAAGACAAATGAACAAGCTTTAAGACAATATCAATAACTACACATGGCCAAAAATTGGCGAGCGCCTGATTTCACCGAGTCGCGACACATACAGACTTCAACAAAAGTTAAGGACCACTTGCAAACACTCTGAGTGGTCTTCTTGGGTCGACCTGCACGTGGGCATTCTTGGACTGGTTCAGTGGCTTAATGATGCTGCCTCAGGCGGACAATGACAGAGTGTGACACTGCAAGCCTTCTGGCAACTTCTCGGGCCCCAACTCCATCATACAGCTATGCCATAGCTCTGATCTTGCACGATCAAAGTCTCTCTGCTTTCGTCTTTATGGCATGTTGATGCGATACTGGATTTTGTGTAAACTGCGCTTATAGGACCACCAAAGTGAGCGCAGTTCAAGATTGTACGTCCGTTTATGGCGTGCATCAGAAATTTAAACTGAGAAATGTCCGTGGTGTCACCCACAAGTCGATAAAAAAGACTTCATGGTGATTTTGCCCCTTTAGGAAGCTTTGCAGTACGCAATGGTAACCCATTAACACTTTCAGAGCAAGACATTTTGAAATATTCCTTGCTGTCTTTTTGGGGGGATTTTTAAAAAATCAGGGCTGTCTGTCAAGGTGGTCCTTAACTTATGTTTAAGTCTGTATTTGTTTATTTTACCGGAAGGATGCTGGGTAGCACTGCATTTCCATTTTTAATAATTTAGTACATATATGTGGTATTTGCATTTCATGCTATGAGGTCAAGGGACACTTCAAATTTGTTAACTCCAGTGCAAGTGTTGTATTTGATTTTCCCCTCAATTTGTGCACTCTATCCAGATTGCATGAAAGTCACAGCATTATAAGAACTTACTGTTTGAAATGTTTGGTTTGTTACAAAGTTTCTAAACTCACGTTTGAGATTGTCAAAAACAAAAATATATAAAGATAAATATTTGAGATTAGACGAAAAACTGCACTAATTGCATAATGTTTTGCATATGTAGATATTATACTGTTGGAGATTCTGTCTTGTGTTACTTTTTTTGTTTAACTAAATTTTTCCTGATGGAAGCATTTCCATACCAACCATATGCCTGATTATGGTGAGTGATAGTAAATGAATCATCCATCCTTGCTAGGTATATTATCTTTGCAAAATTAGTTCAAAATCTATTCTTGAATAATAAAATGACTTTCAGAAATGACCCACATGTATGATGGATGAGCATAAATCCCAGTCTCTTTGTCCAAGTTGTTTTGGGGTTTTTTTGGTTTTTTTTGTGTTTTTTTTTGGAGGGGAGGGTCGTTATGACCACACCTCTTTTTTCACCCGAATCAAAATGTTCATATTACATCTGTGTCAGATATCAACGAATGCTCCTCCAGTCCATGCTCACTGAATCAAGTGTGCGTCAACACTGACCCTAACTTCCGGTGTGACTGTAGGCCTGGCTTCGCTCCAGGAACAAATGGATGTCTGGGTGAGTAGTAACTGATGTAATTGTTCACCTCTCCACTTTGAACTAGATGCCTGGGAAGAAAATATTTTTGGTTGTTGATTCTGTCACTCTTTGTGCTTGGATTTTGTATGACACACACTCCAGACCGGCCCCGGCTGACTGGGTTAGAGCAGCTCCCTTATTTCCTAAGATCTGAATTGTGTCAACAGGGATATGACGCCTTTACACTGTGGAGTCTTGAAGAACAGCTGTGTTTGATTTTTGCCAAAAGTTTATTCTCTGACTAAAAAGCGTGTTTCTGTGCATCTGTTTTTTGTGTCTCTGAGTATAACTGTGTTTGATTGTGTATGTAGGTGTGTGTTTGCATGGGAATGGTGCTTGTGTGTGTTTGTTATTATGTGTGTGTGTGTGTGTGTGTGTGTGTGTGTGTGTGTGTGTGTGTGTGTGTGTGTGTGTGTGTGTGTGTGTGTGTATGTGATTGTGTTTGTGTTTGTTTGTGTGTAAATTATATTCTAGATGCACATGTGTGAGATTAGTGCAAGAATTTTGTATGTGTTAAATTAGTGCAAGAATTTTGTATGTGTTTAAATAAAAGAGATGGGGAAAAGGAGAGTGAAGAAGAAGACTGGGAGAGGAGAGAGCATGAGAAAGAGAGAGAGAGTGAAAGAGAGAGTGAGAGAGAAAGAGAAGGGGGGGGGGGTTAGTCTTTTCTTTCATTTTGGATAGTGTGTCTATCACTTCAAATTATAAATATTCTAATAATATAATTTGTTTGATATTATACATTGCTATTTGTTGTTACAAATTCACAGAAGAACCCGCAGAAGACCTCAAAATTATTTCTTGTTTCAGAGACCTTTTATCAAATATCTGTGTCTTTCTTCTGTGGCGTTTTTATCCCTCTGAGACCGGATTGGCCCTGATAGGCAGGGTCGAAGCCTGCCCTCTAAATTTTGTTGATGGGGGTGTAAAAAACATTTTTTTAAAGAACTCTGTTGAGTCAACTTCTTGATTTTCACCAGTGCATACTCAGGCCTGCTCTCAGAACAACAGGCTTTAATAGTCCTCCGTTGTTTTTCTTGAGCATTGCAAGTCATTAAGCCATGATCAGTTATAATATTATGTCTTCCTTCCTTTTCATTATCCTCTCTTTACAGATATCAACGAATGTGATACAAATCCATGCGGGCAAAATGAAGACTGCACAAACAAACCTGGCTCATTTGACTGTTCCTGTTCTGCTGGCTATGTGAATGGCACCAGTGGTGTCTGTGTTGGTAAGGAAACACAATGTAGTTTCTTGGTATTTAAGTTCCAGCTTAGAAGCCTTTATGGTCACAGCTGTCATCATCATCATTGCCTTTCTAACCCTGCACCAGGGTATAGGCCACGGACAAACACCCTGGTCACAGCTGTAATAGGTGTCAAAATAGAGTGGAACTTGGATTCAACTAACTCTGATTCGACTGAAGGAGTTGGATTCCTTGTCTTTTTTATTCATAAAAATCAGTAAAAATAACCCAGATTCAATGAACACATAAATGAGCAAGCTCAGATTCAATGAGGTTGCTTGCAGGGTGAACAGCCACTCATTTTTCTCCTTCGACAAACCTTATTTATTCCTGGAAACCATCTATGGAACCTGCATCGTGAACCATTTTTCGCTTGGCCTATTATTTATAGATTTTGCAATCAATCAGCAGCCTTCCTTCATATCAACACACACATTGTTAGCATGCACATATGTCTTAGCGTGGGTCGAGGTTAGATGAGCATAGACATCAATAGAGATACAATCACCCAGTTATTTTTTTTCCTGGCTACTGATCAATATAGATCTACATTATGAATTTCGCGCTGGACTGTGGAATCAAACGTTGCTGTATGCTGGGCACTAGTATACAGCAACTTAACTTGTTCAGCAAACAATATGGTATAATGGATGATAGATGGCATTTGACCGAATCGACCCTTTTGCGCAGTGTGTGCTTGGTGGAGTTCAGTGTATTTTATTGGCATTTTCCAGAATTTCTTTGATATGGCATCAAAGAAACGAAAGTGCCTCTCATTTGAAAGCAAACCACTTTTGATTGAGACAGTTTGAATGCATACATTACTGGCTCAGTGCCTGTAATTATCAACACAAAAACCTCATAAGAACGCTCAGATTTAATATAATTGAAGGTCCAGCCCTACGACTTCCCTGAATCCGAGTTCCATTGTATTCATATAAAGCTGTTGTCTTACATGTGTATGTAGGAAGGTGAGGGACATTTAGATTGGGTAGATGAAAAACATGCACTGATGAGATGATTTCAGTAAAGACCAGAAGAAAAAAAACAATCTCTATTCCTTTCCACATTTCCTTGTGCTTATCTGTGCATAAAATTTCTGTGAATGTTGTGTATTCACACAACTGCGCATTAAATCTCTGAATCAACTGGTGAAGTGGTCTTTTCCTTCTTTTCTATCTTGATAATAAAAAAGTCGGTCTTTTTAATAAAGTTTTTTAAAACTTCTGTCTCAGATTAAATCCCTTTGTAGTTTCTCGGGTCTAAAATTTATCCTTTTGAAAGTGCTTCTCACTTGCTAGAGATGTATACAGCTTGCTAGTATATGTAGTGAACTCTGACTTTAAAAAAGTAGCCAGGTAGAAGCAGAGACAGCATTATTACATTTTGGGTGTCATGATTGTTACTATACTGTATTACAAATTTTGCCTAACAGCACACTGAAACCGGCTTCTGTGGTGTAGCAGTTAGTCACTTTGCCATTGTATGCAGAAGATTTGAGTTTGATATACTGTATGGGTAGAATTTCTTTCAAGTATCACTACTGTCTTTTTACTGGGCAGCTGTATCCCTCTCAGCCTGGGTTGGCCCTGACAGGTGGGATCTAAGTCACTTTCTGAATTATCTAAATTGTGCTGATGGGGATGTAAAAACATGTAAGCCTACATTTAAAAAGAAAAGAAATTTAAACAGCAGAAGCATCTCATGCTGAATTATCAATATCATCATCATCATCACCATCAGCCTTTCTCACCTTGCATGGGAGTATAAGTCACCAAGAGCTCTCCATGTATTTGTGCTCCTTGGCTTTTGTCTCCACTTTTGTCCAGCTGTATCCCATCTCCTTCAGGTCAGAATCTAAGCTCCTTATCCAAATATATTTAGGCCTTGCTTTCTTTCTCTTTCCTTGTGGATTTCATCTTAAGGCTCAGTGGATAAAGTTTGTTTTTGGTTTTATCAAGGTGTATCCAATCCACTTCCATTTTGTCGTTCTGACTTCTATATATCTGTTTCCTGTTGATTTTTTTGCTCCCATCTCTTATGGTGACAGGCTAATGAAATTTTCGTATTTGTCTTGAGCAGTTGCGGATAAATATCTCCAGCTTTTTAGCCTTTTGATTTGTAAGTTTTCATATCCATTGGGTATGACACTTTTGACACTTGTTGAAAATCCTTGTCCTTGTTTTTGTTCCTATAATTCCTAACCTTCATACATATGCTGCCTGGATCGTTAACAACAACATAACATACATATTCTGAATCTGGAGTATTAAAAGATGGATATTTTAGTTCTTGTTATAGTCGTATATTATAGTTTGCTTAACTCATTCGCTACATATTATTTTCGGCTTGTGGACGAATTTTTTTAGGGAGGGCGAATGAGATGATGACTAGTGGGCAGTTAAAAGGTCTTTGGGGCGACAAATTCAAATAAATATCAACATATTATATCCCAATATTTTCAGTATGGATTGTAGAATACATCTGTAATGTTCATTTATGTATTTTTCAACTTTGGTTCCTGTAAGAGGCGATTATGCAACACAATTTTGATTGGATGCGGATAAAATTTGAAAATAAAAGATTTATAATCTTTGGTGAAACTCAAAAAATATGCTTGCACCTAGTCAAATGATATATCAAAATAACCATAAATGAATATAGAACTGGAAAATATTGAAAAGTTTGCAGTTATTTACATACATTCCATAATATTTGTACATTTGGATCATAACATCCGATATTGAAAAAAAATTTAAAAATTTATAATCTTGAAAAACGATCACAAACAGATAAAAACCCACTCGTATCTAATATGGAATTATTGAGATTTGCATTTGGAATAATCCTATACATGTCTTGAGTGGCATCTTTTGGGAAATTTCATAAAAAAGTATTGATTTTGAGGAGAAAAACATATTTTGACAATTTAGATCTAGATCTAGACCTAGATCTGGCACTCAAGAATATTGATTTCTAAATAACAGTGCATTGGCAATATGAGTCCAATCGTATCAATATTATAAAAAAGAGTCCTACACTTCTTTAGTGGGCAAAATAATGATATATTTTGTTGTGTAAAATTACTAAGACTGGTGTCCGGACTATAATTTTGGCATCGCGATAAAACAAAGTCGAATAAACTACGAAACCGTGTTTCAAAACTGAATCTAAACTTCCAATTTTCAGTGGAAATGCTTGACCCGGAAGTCAACATTATATTATGACCTTTATTTTAACATGGATATGCAGATTGGAATAGAATCTAAGCTAAAATTGAAGATCGGTTCTCGAGCCGCCGGGGGCGGCTTAGCGTTCTGACGGCACATTAGCCGCGCCGCCCCCCACGGCTCGGCGTAGCGAATGAGTTAACAAGTTGCCGTAAGGACATAAACATACACAGCTACCTTTGATAATGAAATTGTGTCTTACTTGGTCAGGGTAGATGATATTTGACTGTTTCTGTAATGTCATAATTTCTTCCCACTCTGGTCTTTACTTTTAAGTATACCTTTTTTTTTTCTTTTCAGCGTAATATTGTTAAAAACAGTGCCAAATTATAATGGTGGGACAAATCAATTTTTTCGTGTAAAGATCTGTTGCTGTGAGGAACTTTAAACGATTGTTCTTTCACTCACTGTCTGTAATGAAGGTTGATTTCAAGGTAATTTATAATAAGTTTTTGAAGACTTACATGAATAAAATGTAAATATGTGAGGCATCCTGGTGGAATTCAGGCACTCGTCAAAATAATAAAATCGAAGAAACTGGCATTTTTCTGTCCATTTGAAAATGTTCATTGATGTTGTTTTTTGACTCGAGGTCCATTTAAAAACACATTTCCTTGTGGATTTTGCCGAAAAATGTTGATTTAAAGCACAAAAATGTAAATTTAAAGTTTCTAAGGACTCTCAAACTTTGGAAGTCGCCAAACTTTGGCGGCCTTTTTCTCTAATATTATCTCTGAAACCAGGTGAACCTGACCTCCTTCAGTCACAAATATTTTGACTTCTATTCAACATGGATGGATATTTTTCTCTCCAAAAGAAAGGAAAATGAACAGGCTTTAAGATGATACCAATAACCCTGTATGCCCAAAAGTTGACGAGCACCTGATTCCACCATGTTGTGACATAATAATATATTGTCATGCTAACAGTGACCAACTCTTAACCATGGATGGCTAACATTGAGACACCATGCTGGCCATAATGTGTAGATGCAAATATACTGTGGCAGCAAAAAGACATTCTAAATATTTATGTCTATGAATTCTTACTGCTACACCCTATTGATCTTGCAATTTGTACTTTCCTTATTGTCTCAATGAATTTAGAATATAAGGGTGGAAAATGTCAACTGTCTTTTTTTTTTCAGACTTTAACGAATGTCAAGGTAATCCTTGCGCAGTGAACCAAGTGTGTAACAACACAGAAGGCTCTTACAATTGTCCTTGTGTAACAGGCTTTTCACTACAGGGATCTGCATGCACAGGTAATGCATTTACTCATTTGACCGTTTCCTTTTTTCTGCACAATCTAAATTCTCTTGCAACTGAAGTTGATGCCCATATTTTTATTTTTTTTTAATAGATAAAAGCGGTCACATTTAAGCTCTTTTTTTTCAAACATTTCCCTTCTGTACATGGTTCTTTTGAAGTGAAAAAAGCAAAGAAGTTTGAATGCAGATAGCAATGAAATAGTTCTTCTCCTTCTAATAACATTCCTTCTAAGTTCTAAGGTAAGCATCTTTCCTTCGCATGGACAATGTATCCCGACTTAAAAAGGGCTTTGGTGTGTAATAAAATGCTTTGCATACTTCAGTTTGAAAATTAAAGACTATCAGTTTGAAAAGTTCTGATATAATGTGTTATAGAGTTGCTGTCTTTGAGATTTAAAACAGTTTATCAATATACAAAAGCCTTGTTTTTTATATCTCTTGTCAGTTGTTGAAAGTTTTAGATCATTTATACAATTGAACAAAAATAGCTAAAATTCATTGGATATATGTTTGTGTTTTGCTTTTTTGCAAAAAGTATTTGAAGATAAGTTCAGCATCTTGCTTTAATAAATTGGTCTTTATTCTATCTGTTTCTGTCTGTTTTTTATAACAACTATGAAACCTTGGGTTATGCGGCCATTTGGTTTACCAAAACTGGAACTCTACAAACCTTTTGACTTACAAATTTTCTTCAATTGATAACATTGGTCTGTTAATCAGGAGAAAGTGTGAGGTGCGTTTCTGTCTCTCTGGTACCACTTACCCTTCCAAGTTTTTTGCCTGACTCAGTTTTGACCTTTGGCCATAATGAAGAATCCCACGTGATGGATTTTTCATTTCATTGTTAGGTCATTTTCCCTGAATGACGTCCATGTGCTTTTTAAACTGTGAATGAAAACAAAATTGTAATTGACTATGGTAGATTTGATGCCCTCCTTGGTTGTAGCAAAGAGTTCAAGAACAAGGTGATCCAGAAAAAACTGTACATCTTTTTTTCTAAATATCTCGCAAAAAAATGTGTACTAGAATTTTGTAATTTGGAACAGATATAATTCATTCAAAAGGAATTTGTTTGACATAAAATTCACGTAGAGTAAACCTATTTTCGAAAACAGAAATGTCTGTTATAAAAACCACCTATCAATGCGAAATGCTCCAATTTAAAAGATCTTGTAACTAAAGTCATAAAATGATTGGTTTGTTTTTTTCCTTTCCTTTGATTTTAAAAATCTAATCTTTCCATCCCTGTAAGCTTTAAATAATATTTCTTTTCTGCTGTAGAATAAAAAAAATTTAAATTCTGAAATTCCTAGAACCAGTGGTCTATATGTGCCCCTTTGGACTCGACACATTTGAACGCGTCGTTCGTAATGTTCAGTGGTGGCACAAAGATCCACTCAACCATCAGTACTCTAAGCCACACACACTGTACACCTTACAGTATGGAGCTGTTTCTAGAGACAATGGGGGGGGGAGGGGGTAAGGTTACCCATGTAGACAGCATTTGTGGAGTTGGTATAACCTGAAAGGTTAATATAGGCTTTGCCAAGTAACCAAATGTCATAGAGGAAATGTTCGCGCTTTTCAAATGATCGCGGAATCATGAACACATTGCTATCCTCTGATAGCTTCGTGAACGTGAAAATGGTACAGCCGTGCCGTTGATGAAGATATGCCTTGAAAATTTGGACCATTGAGATGAAGGGAAACCATTGCTACAGGCATTGTCTACGGACAGACATCTCATGGGGCTCATCTACAGGTACTGAATTCTGCACCTGGTGACGTTTAAAGGGGTGCAATCGGTGTCTTTTTTACCTGAAGTGGTCGTTTTGTCAAGGAATTTTTGGTTCTGATTCTCTACAGGTCCAAACTGATGGACCATTTCCACCCTTGACATCAAAGAAGTCCTTAAGGGCACTTTAACATTATTTACGTACCTTGTGCAAAACTTACAAAATGAGTAGGTGGTGAGAAAACGTTTAATACAAAAAGCTCTCTGCTCTTTACTGATCTTAACCATGATCTCAGCAGGCAAAGGAAACTTGAGAAAAATTATCTGCAAACTTCTGTTGTCCTGTTACACTGCCTTAGTTTGCAATATGGCGCAATCGTTGGGATTTTTAGCGGTCATGTTACAAAAATCGGGACATAGCTGAAAATAGGTTGTTTTTTTACGCATTATGTAGAGCAAATAACTATTCTGTGGATTTATCTGAAATGAATATAAGACAAATTCTTTTTGACTTCCAAATGTTGTGTACAAGTTTGAAACGAATAACTTCAGTGTGGAGGAAAATATTAACAAAAAAAGGGGTACAGTTTTTTGTGGATCACCCTGTAATTACATTGATGTTTAGATGTTTGACAGTGAGCTGTCTTGTTTTGTTTCTCTGGAAACAGCTTTCATCTGCTGAGTGCCCTTTATAAAATAGTGCAGAATTTCAGCACTGACCAGCTACACTTTAACTCTTTTATCTCTGGCAAACCGCGCCCAGCAGCACGCGGTCGGAACCTCTGTGCCGGTGAGCCGCAGACAGCAGCTTGGGCACATTCCTTTATGACAACTTCAACATCAAATTACTTTTCGGCAATTGCCAAAAACAGGTCTCTTTTATCGGAAGCTCATTCATTAGATAAAGAACTATCGAAATAGGTTTGCTGACTTCGATTTAATAACCCATTTAATGACGTTTTTATCATATTTAGATTTAGCACAAAAGAAGTGCCCCGGCATTGTGGGTTTACCCCTCTCGGAGGTGAAGAGTTGAAAAATGTGTCCTGGCCTAGAGGTTAAAGTGTTCACCTCTCCTTCAAAGGTCCTGGGTTTGAATCTGGGTAGCAACGGAAAAATGTTCTTTTCTAAAATTGTCTTCTTTGACCTCCTTTCCTGCTGTCTAGCAATATGTTCTGCCATCTGCTTTGGTCTCCACTTTCTTCCCCCACCCCCTCACCTCCTTTGCTCCCTCTTCTGGGCTCCTGACTCTTTCTGCAACTTTTCTACTGCTACTCCTTACTGCTGTCTTTCAGTTACACCCCTGATCTTCTGGTAGGACAGATCAATATACCTAGCCTTCTAGGGCAGCGGTGAAAAATCTCTGAGGTTCCGAGTGCAAGTTGTGCTCGCTAAAGATCCCTTGGTGTTCTAAAATTGATAAGAGTAGGCTTCGGCCGCTACCTGAGCAAAATTCAAAATTTCGTACCAACTCAAAATGTTTAATGTGTCCTGCGCATTCATGACCTTATGCAGTTGCGAGCGACGTAAAACACTTTTTTTTTTCTATTGATTTTTTTATGTTACATTCTAGCCCATTTTATCAAAAGGTTGGCAAATGAATGAAAGCTCAGTTTCTCCAAAACTGTGTAAAACTAAATTTCAGACTTCTAATAACTCTCACAAATTGCTTGCTGCTATTACACTGCGCATATTCTAAATTACTTGTTTTTTTAGATTAGCAGAAATTCCCCCAAAATCGGAGAAGTACTTTTTCAATGATGACCTTAAAGTCACAATTAATAAGAACATATCTCATTTGAAATTGTGAGAAAAAGGAAAAAAATTCCTGGTAATTTAGGATTTTTGAATTATCTTTCTTTTGCATACCCCAGCTTGAGCTTATGGGGTTTCTAACTGTAAGATCTAAATCTCTCTGTACAATTAATTTCTATGTACATGGCTATTTTATCTGCTTAGAATGTAGAATCACCCTTTGCTTGACAGGGAGTCGTATGCTATTTTCAAAGATATTCTTGATACTTATACTGACTAGAGTGGCTTCAGTTTTTTGGTAGGCTTTATTTTTTTAATTTTGCTCAGACTGTGGCCTGAAGGGCCTACTCTTTTCAATTTTAGATTCATCAAGTGTGATGTTTAATATGTGCAAAACTTCCACATTCGAATCATTATTAATTTCTATGTTAGTCTCAGTATTAATATTATTGAGGATAAGAAATTGAGAACTTTTTGTGTAGTTAATCTCAAGTTTTGTTTTGAATACAGATTCATCACATAATGACGATCTTAAACACACAGTGTCAGTATGTATATATATATATATATCACTTGAGCATGTTTAAAAAAGGAAAAATATGCTTTATAATTTAGGATTTCTGAATTGTTTTAGTGATCTGTCTATAATATTAACAATTTCCTTCTTAACAGACATAAATGAATGCGACCAAAACCCATGTGGGGTGAACCAGGAGTGTAGCAATAATGAAGGCTCTTACTCCTGCCCTTGTGTTGTGGGATACACCCTCAATGGAACAGTGTGTACAGGTAAAAGTTTAATTTTCTTTTACCTATTCAGTAGATTCTATTCTTACACTGGTAGTGCTCTCTCAAGATAAACACGGATATGATTAACTTTCATTTTAACTGAAATGTGTTTTTAGGGTTGTTGTTTTTTTTCACTTTTCTTTATTTTCTTTCTTTTTATATCTGAAGTTCATGAGAGGGCAAAACCCATAGTATCTTTTTTCCCTGAAGAAAATCAAAAGACATGGCTCCCCAAAGCATTGGCATGGTGCCCCCTAAAAAGATGTTAACTCCTCTGAAAGGTTGCTCCATTGATGTAGATGAGTGGGAAACCCTCTATTTTGACCAAACACAGTGTTATGAAGCCATGACTTGTGCCAGCAAGGTTTTTGAGAAAAATGGAATGTGTAAAGCGCAGGCAGCCAGAGAAGTAAAATAATCAAGACATTCAAACCCTGACATTGACACTTGCACAGGCCCAACAGGCCGCAAGGCTCTGTGAATAACTCACCTAAACAAGAACAGCGCTTGAAGGTCACAAGCAAAGCCTTTGAAGAAGGTTTAACTACCCCATCATAATATTAAGTTTAGACGAATTTAACACACCCGTTTAGGGAGGGGAAAGCTGTTTTAGCAAGTCCTCGTTGGGAGTTTGTAATTACTGCAATTGGTTGCTTTTTTTTGCTTTACTTTTTTCTCTTTACCATGTTAGCTACTTGCAGTAGATAGCAGGATCTATACACTCTCTTTGTCCTTAGACTTCTCTCTGCCATAGTTGGTCTAGCTAGCTGACCATAGCAGAAATCACTAGTCATCCTAATCCTTAATTCTTCTATTTCAAGAAATGTTCTCCTCTGCAGATGCATTGGCCATTATCAAACATTGCTGTACGAACTATTATTATTATTTTCATTAGGCCTACTTTTTTGAAAGATGTTGGAATAAGATTGAAACTTTTTTATCTGTACAGACGTGGATGAATGTGCTGGGAACCCGTGCCAGGCAAACCAGCGGTGCAGCAACAATGAGGGTTCTTTCACTTGTTCTTGTGTTGATGGCTATATCTTCAATGGAACTGTATGCATAGGTAAAGCTGGAACATGTGTGTCTAATCTTTTTTTGTGGTTTTTGTATCTTCAAATTATATAATCAAAGTCTCTATCGGTCATATCATTTTTTTCCTTTTATCAAAGTGTATCGGATATCGCTTTATTGTTGAAATTGTTAATCTTTGGCTTTGACAGTGATAAACCTATGTAAAAAATATTAGAAGCCAAAGTATCAAAAATGCGTTTTCTCTCACACTCAGTCGGAGCTTTTCAGTGGATGTTTTTTTACTTTGTCATTTCCCTCTAAAAAAATTACCCCTTGTGCAATTGACATAACAAGGTGTAAATGGTATTGTGCCAGTTGTACAGCATAAAAAGAACAATATAGATGTGACTGAAGGTCACCAAGTGCACATTTCATGGCCTATATCCGAAATACAATTTTTCAAATGGATAAAGCTACATATTGATCTCTGCTAGAAGGGAGAAGAGTTTTTCATGTTTTTCTCAGAAATGTGAAATGCGCAGTTACATCGTTTTACCTTTGAATAGCTGTACAACACTTACAAAACTGCTAACAATATATTTTCTCTTGTTAAGTAAGATTATATCTCAAAGCTTAGAAAAATATCAGCTGTCAATGATTATTTCTATGTTCTTTCTATAAACTGGGAAAATTAATTGAATTGTTGTTTTATTTCTTCACTTGATGACCTTCTTTGTCAATTTTTCCTCAGATGTGGATGAATGCATGAGCAATCCTTGTAGCACTTTACATTCTTGTAATAACAACGATGGATCATTCACGTGCACATGTGTTCTTGGCTATCTGGGTGATGCAATAACATGTACTGGTAAGCACAAAGTGTGGATGCCTATGGCTACAACAAATACTGCCAAAGCTGAATAAATTCTTACAATCTGACGTTAAATAGGCTAGTAAAGAGATGAACTTTTTGGCACATGAACATAAACATCATGTGATCAATAATTTTGTTGTTCAATGTCTGCATTAGACTGCACTTTTTAGCATCCTAGACAGTGTAGTGCAATATCTAACCCTCTTTGTTCTCTATAAAGGATTCACAGTGAAGCCTCTGCACCATTGGCAGAGCCATTAACGCCAAGTGAAGTGTAAGCAATCATCACACAAATGCAATGCTTCGTGTGGTTTTATAGGGTATACTGAAGGGGTAACTTGTACACTTGTTTTCCCACAACTGGGCTGTTTTTAGCGTAGGAAAACTCTAGACTTGAAATGGTATATGTTTAACACCCTATCAGCGTTCTTGATTTGATGAGCTTTTGAAGTCTAAAAGTTGCAAGTGCAAAATGTATTCATGCTCATAAAAATTGAAACCCAAGAAAGAGGATGATTTATTGATAATAATATTGTATATCGTTCTGTACAGATATAGATGAATGTACTACATTTGACCCGTGCACTGGTACAAATGAGGAGTGTGTCAACTCTCCTGGCTCATTCAAGTGTAACTGTCTCCCTGGATTCTCTGGACCACTGTGTGAAGGTTGGTCCTGTACTTGCGAAACTAGTGCATAAAGGAACAAATTTATTTAAAACTGACACTGCCAAACAAACTCACGGAAGGTGGTGGTTTTGTGAATTATATGCTCCACTTGTTGCTCATTTCTCCCCAGACAAGCTGGAAAACATCTCTGGAAATTTTAAGTAACCCTGAGGCATGTTTCTATCTCTATTCTTTGGACCTCTTGTTTAATGTTTTGTTTCAACTGCTTGATCGTTTCTGGGTTGCTTTGGTTGGTCTGTCTTTCAGAAACCCAATTTTAAGGAAAACATTGCACTTTGATTTGGTAATACTTCTTTTCACACGCTGTCTTTGGCAATGTCAGTTTTAAATGAATTCATTCTTTAATGCAAAAATACACATAATGTTTGATTTTTTTAAAGTTATTTTAAAAGTTCTGCATTTTATTCAATTTAGGTTGAAATTTTTTTAATCATCATGTGACGCAATGTGGTGGAATCAGGTGCTTATTAATTTTTAGGCTTATGGAGTTATTGGTATAATCTTAAAGCCTTGCTTTTTATGAATAAATTACCCACCTATTTCGAACAGAGTTTGAGATATTTGCATATGAAGGAAGTGGGGTCACCTAGTATCTGAGGCAAAAATAGCAAGAAAATGGACTTAAAAGTTTGAGGAATTCCTAAGTTGTGGTGTTCTTGGAAACTGGAAATGAACATTTCGTCACTGTGCTAGCAAAATGCCATTACTCAGAGTCGTTCCAAAATGCAACTAGCCTTTTATTTTGTTATTTTGTTTGGTGGAACTGCGTCTATCTTTTTGTCAAATCAAAATAAAAATGGGCTGGCAGTCACAAAAGAAACATGTATGGCAAGTTTTAACATTATTAAATAACAATAAATAGTCCAGTCAAACCATTGTTCCCCCTTTATCTCAAAAGTACTATAAAAGGCAATATATATGGCTGGCTGGTCTGGACAATTACAGAGTCATCTTTTTTTACTTTGTTTGTGTTTGTTTGCACAGTAATTATCCTCTCTTCACAGATATCAACGAATGTGATACAAATCCATGCGGGCAAAATGAAGACTGCACAAACAAGCCTGGCTCATTTGACTGTTCCTGTTCTGCTGGCTATGTGAATGGCACCAGTGGTGTCTGTGTTGGTAAGGAAACACATTGTAGTTCTTTAGTATAGAAATTCTACCGTAACCTGTTCAGTAGGTACAACACGTTGTGAACTTCTCGGAGTGGGTGGTTGATGGGTGTTCGGGTGTGGTTCACTCCTTATCTCCTGTCAAACCTCTATTGCCCATATCTCTAACCGTTCTTTTCTTTGTATGTTACTCTTAAGTGTAATACTTCTAATCATCTGCACTTATATGATCTATTTGTGTTGCAGGCACTGTAAAACTTGAACTAAAATTAAGCTTTAAAAAATTGCTCCTCAATACATCAAGATATGGTCCATCACCTATCTGGCATGTAACATTTGCAGTTTTTCTGGCAGCCACATGTCAGTTTTGAAAGCACTTATTTTTACGGTATGCTTATCAAAGACTTCTTTTGAACACAGCAAAACGTACTTCTCTTTGAATTACATCTTTCGAGTATCTTAATGTGTACACATCAAACAACTAAGAAGGCTTCTAAGAAGTTTTAGTAAATGAAAGCTTTGGGGTAGAAGGAGGGGTCAAAATTTATTTTAAATGATTTTTTTTTTTTTCATTAAACCTGAACTGTGAATTCACCTTTGTTACACACACATACTCACACTTACACACATAAACTCTTACATGCACACGCAGACACACATATAGGCACACGTAGACACACATACACGCAGACACACACGCGCGCACACACACACACACACACACACACACACACACACACACACACATAAACACACACTGGGAGATATAGAATCAAAACTTAATTTTGAATTGTCTCTTGAGGGAGACAAAAGTGTTTGTGGTTAGAGTCATGATTTTCCCTTACATTAGCTTTTAGCCTGGTCTGTCCCCTGGCACAGAGAAAACTACTTTATGAAAAAAATGTAAGAAGTTTATCCGAATAATTTCCTCAAGTAGGTTTTTGAGACAAGACTATGAAACAAACCTTAATTTATATATATGCTTGTTTGTTCAGTTCCAATCATGAAGCAGTATCTACAGCTTGTGACGAAGACTTGCATTTTTATAGATGATCATTTTTATTTCTTTCTATCATTTCAATTGTGAGGGAACTTCATGACATATTTCTTTGTGAGCAGACATCAACGAATGTGCCAGAAACCCATGCAAGGCAAATGAAGACTGTACCAACAATGAGGGATCTTTCACCTGTCCTTGCCTTGCTGGCTTTGAGAAGAATGGAACTGTGTGTATAGGTAAAGTTTTAACTCGTGTCATTTACTCCTTTATTGTGTATATATATCATATTTTTTACACAACTTCACACTGTGCCTCACTTGCTGGAAACTGAAAGTAAAAGTGGACAGACTGAGGCTCAGTTTTTCCTTTTATTTATGAAAGAATGAGCTTAACATTTCTGGAAGAACTACACTGGCTGCCAATAAAAGAAAGGATCAATTACAAAACTGCTGTTTTGTTTTAAATGTATAAATGATACTACACCTTTTTATCCTAAAACATTCCTGGCATTATACCATCCACATAGAGCACTTAGATCAGCTTCTGATAATCTGATTCTTAAAACTCCAAAACAAAATTACAAAACGTACGGCGAGCATTCCTTTTTATTCTTTGGTCCCCATGTATGGAACGAACTCTCATATAAAATAAGATCTGCCCAACAATTTTCATTTTCAAAAACCAGCTGAAGCATTTTTTATTCACAAATGCATACCTGTCTTAATGATGAACTGTATGTATCACTAGCCACATGATTCAACCACCTAAGTGCCAAGAGACAAATTTTTCAGGAGAAGCAAAAAACTGTTTTATTTCTTTGGGCTCGTACCTATAAATCTGAAGTTCAGATATTTGATGTGATATCATGTAGGAAGATGGTCTGTAACCAATTTTAAAAAGAAAAAGCTGCTTTCTTACATAAGTTACTGAACATAAGCAGTTTAGACCTGACAATATCTACATGATTCAAATGCCTAAGTGACAGTATGACGGCATCTAGACTTTTGAATTATGATAATCAACGCCACTCAGTGAGCGCCAATGGTCACTTGAACGTTAAAGTTATCGACAAAAGCAAACCAGAAGTAATTTAAGAGTAATTATAAAGTTAAGAGTAATTATTTCACTTGGGTTGGGTCTTCTGGGGCTGGAATGTTTTTGGCCTCATGGAGTTGGTAATAAAGACCATTCATCTTAACGTTCAATTTATACTAGATGTTTTGGTTCAGTGTGTATCAAAGGCAACGAACGTTTGTGACAATGGGGTCGTTTTTATTTCAGATAGGTCTCAATGGTCCAGAAATCAAACATCGGAGGAGGGGGGAGGGGGGGGATATTGTCTTGCTTTCTTAAAAATGTTCAAGATTATCCATGAGCACATGTCTGTGCAGCTTCAGTTTTCCTTGCACTATACAGACTATACAGCCATAGTTATGTTGTAATGCTTCTATTTACTCACTCTCAAATGCACTTTAGACTCTTTGCCTATAAACAAAAGACAGAGGTCTGAATTTGATTACAAATTTTCTCCTCCGCTTGAAGTCAAGTTGTCATTCTTTGAAATTACAAAATAATTAACGAAAAAAAAAAAAAATTCCTAAAACTTCTGTTCTTTTTTAATAAAGCGTTCTTGGTGGATTATAAGTACTGTGTTTGCTAATTTTTTACATGATTTTTCCTGTGATATCAAGAGCAATACATTCATAGAGAAAATGAACGTCGTTTTTTTAGATAAAATAAAAGATGTTTGAGAATCTGTAGTTTTTATGCTCTTATACAAATCATTGAACACAGAAGCAAGCCATGCATTTAATTCTCATGTGAGTAGGATTTATATCAATTTCTCCACTTGTTTGTTGGAATGCTCTATCCCTCTCAGTCTGGGTTGGCCCTCATGACAGGCAAAGTCAAAGCAGCCCACCTCCTAATTGATCTAAAGTGTGTCATAGAGAGCATAAAACATCTACAACTCAGTCACTATGATAATATACTGTTTCTTTCTTTGCAGACATTGACGAATGTCGAACAAACGTTTGTGGGGTAAATGAGGTGTGCACCAACTCTGTAGGTTCCTACAGCTGTCCCTGTGCGACTGGATATGTGCTCTCTAACTCAGTGTGTACAGGTAATAATAATAAGCCTAATAATAATAATGATAATATTTGCTCATCTGTCAATGTCCGATCTACAGAGGAGAATATTTCTTAAGCAAAATAGGAGAATTAAAGGAAGACATGTTTTCTTTTGCGCTTTTTTGTAGCTTCTTTGCATACCACCAAGTCCTCTTAAGACACTCACACACACCCAGGTAAGTCAAAGCTGTTCCATATGGCTTGCTATGTTTTTTGCTGACTTGGCAAAGTCAAGCCACTGTTGCACTACTGATTGAGGCTGAGCTTAAACCGCAGGTTTGTGAAAGGAGAAAATCAGCTTTTATTTAAAAAATAGATATAATCAATGTAACATAGTCAGACCTTGTTTTTGTATGGGATAGAGTGCCATATAAATGCAATCTATTTGTAATCAAAATCCATGTTATTTCTAAAAATCACAGACCTGCAGCTTAATGAGCCACAACTAAGATGGGCCAGTGGAACTGTGTAACACATCATGATTAAATTACTTTCTTTACAGCGGAGATCAAATGGGTCGTGACTGAGTACCTTTCTTAGAAACTGATGTTGAGCAGCTATGGTGTCAGAAAGCACAATAAAGTGTTTGTAGATTTTGCATTCCCTTTGAAAAAAAAAGAACTAATTTGGTATAGAGTTAAAATTTTGTTTTTGTACAGTTCAAACTCAGAATCTTAAGGGTTCTTAGCACAGTATTGGATTCAAAGGCTAAGTAAGCACTGTTTTATCACAAAAAACAGTATTGTGTGTGCTTTATCTGTCTATGAATAGTATCTTGTGACGACAGGTGTCTTAAATAATTAAGCCAATGCTTATTTGGATTTGGCTGCTCAGTCTTTCTCTTTTATCTAGAAACTGATTTTGACTTCCCCTTTCCTTCAGTTGTGACCTTTTGAGATTTAAATGCTTATTGTCGGCTTCCTTTGTCTAAAAAAATATCTGTACTTTCTTTTTGAAGTGATTATTGTTATGATTTCTCCGGGTAAGACTTGTTTTCAAAATTGAATTTATTGGAATGAAATATTAAAATTCTGCATCAGTTTGTAGATTTGACATTTTCTCTCAACACAAAAAAACCCTTGTTCCTGGAGTTTTGTATTTTCAAAATTCCCGGTTCAGACATATTTCACTGCATTGCACAGGCTCAATCGCAATTAAGCTATCCGCTCATAAGAAGTCCAATTAGTGTCACAATTTGTTTACCTTTTATGACTTTTAACCTAACTTTATTTACTTGTCATTATGTCATCGTACTTCTCTTTACTAAAAAAAAACCAACAAATTATGGAGTGATTTCAAAATTGCTGTGCTCATTATATTATTATTGTAATGCATTTTTTTAGAAAAATTGCAAGGCACAGAAAAACAAATATAAGCTACTGTAATGCTCTTACATTTCCCATACTGTTCAGTCTGTTTGTAAATAAAATTGAAATTGTTTTTTATCCTCAGATAAAGATGAATGTACTGGAAACCCATGTGATTTGAAAGAGGTGTGTACCAACACACCAGGTTCTTTCAACTGTACGTGTGATGTTGGCTTTGAGCTCAATGGAACCCTGTGTACAGGTAAGCCTCTTCTTTTAATCTCTGTTTTCCTAAATCTATTATAATTTGTATCTCGTTGCCCCACTGTCCTACCTGTTTCTTTATCTTCAAGACGTCTAAAAATTATATAATTTCCTTCATCAGCAGCCACATGTCTTCTCTAATCTTTCAGAATGTTTTATGGTACGGTGTGTTAAACATAATGAAGTTATTTTAGTGGTAACACCTCTTATCTGAAATCTTGTCTCTGAAAGAACTGAACCTGATAGAGGGATTGCCATGAAAACTTATTCAAAACCCATATAAGAGTGAGCTCTGTTTAGAATCTGATCCTGGCTGGCACACACTCCAGCTCAGCTTCATACCAGCAAGCCTATACACTACACTATCAGTCTGTTAGAGCTAGTAATTTGTTGGTTAATTGCATGCCTCTGACACAATTTAGATCATTTTAAATTAGAGACAGGTTGGGGGTTCTCATGGCCTAGAGGTTAAGGTCTTCGCTTTTCATTCATTAGGTCTCGGGTTCGAACTCGAATAGCGACAGAAATTTTTTTTCACTAAAATTGTCTCCTTTCACCTCCTTTCCTGCTCTCTAGCAATGTTTTGTCTTCTGCTTTCGTCTCCACTTTCTGCCCCTACCCTCTCACCTCATTTTCCCCTTCCTCTGGGCTCCTGACTCTTTCTGCAACCTTTCTACTGTTACTCCTTGGCTCCTTCTTTTTGCTGTCTTTCAGCCACACTCCTGATCTTATGGTAGGAAAGATCTACACCTAGCCTTCTGGGGTAGGTCTGCAAAAAAATCTCAGGGGTCCAGTGTGCAAGTTATGCACGTTAAAGATCCCTTGTTGGTCCAAAATCGATAAGAGTAGGCTGCGGCCACCACCCGGACAAAGTTCAAAATTTCCTACCAACTGAAAATGTTTAATGTGTCCCAGCGTGTCCCTGTATTGTAAAAATATAACTTTCCTAGCTATTTAGAAACTGTACTGTGATGGACAGGAGCTGCAACCAGCAGCAGCTATTAAAACATTTTCATGAAAACTAAAAGTTACTAAATATACAAGCTTAATAATAATGATGACAATAGTAATAATATCACTTACAATATTAATAATAGCAACAGCAATAACAATAATGATAATTACACACTTGGTTGATCCCTTTTGGGAAATTTAGGTTACAATGACAATCATATTTACATACTTTACACTATTGAATATTAAGCACACAAGTAGCATACAAAGAACACCAAATAGCGTACACAATATTGCACTAATGCAGACAATTTTACAAGTATTGTTGGTTGCCTTTGCTGAGCAGCCTTTTTTGCTAGGGTTATTGTGTCTTGCTCAAGGACACACTCCAGTGACCACCCGTCGAAACCCTAGCACTATGTCACTGATACGGTACTTGCTTAAAAATTATTTGTGAGTCCGAAGTCACTATAACCTGTCAGCCACCCTTTTTATCTACAGATCAAATCATTGAAAGAGAATTTAAGTCATCCAGTTATTTAAAATTATTCATAACTGAGAATACAAGAAGACCTTTTTTTTCTTGACATCCCTAATATAAAAATGAATTGAATAATGTTATGATTCTTTCAAATGTTTCATTTGCCTGTTGATGAATTTATACCTTAAATCTATGAAAATGGAAATAGCATGGTTCTATAACACAGCTCTGATGAAACTGGGTTTTTTTGTTGTTGTTTTTTTCTTTTTGGTTCATTAGACAAATATTACCAGATTTTTAAATCTATATGATCACGATAAACAAGAACACAAAAATCCGTCAATATAATATCAAAACTTATTTTTGGATGCTACAATATTTTTTACCAAGTGTAGTCCACTTTGTTTTTCTGCACTTATACATGTTTGCTGTTTAAACATTTGTCGTACATCTAGTAGAATTAGGCTGGGGCTGAAATATGAATTGATGGGTTGGGTTTGGTTGTTTTGTTTTTTTTTTGGGGGGGGGGGGGGTGGGCCTGCTAATAAAATCAAAAACGCCATAAAATTCTGATGATGGCTACTTTTCTCTCACTGCCATTGTTATGCAACTTACTTGCTTTTTCTATTCGGTACAATTTTTCTTTGCCAGATTAGATGCGTTGTTGAAACAAGCTTGCAAATTAATGATGTTTAATTTATGCATTTCACTGTTCTCGAAATACAGTGTAAAATGTAATAAAATGATGAACACAGTATCAAGTGAACTGTTGAATTCATGGTTGTATTGGTATGTTTGCTTGTGGATATGTTTTTGATACATTCATGTTCATATTATTATGCTACTGTTTTACAAGAGTTTGATATTGAAGAGTAGGCCTACTAGAACAAAATTGTAACAAAATGTTAATGGTGTGAATATCTTTAGAGTGTTCTATTCCATGCAGTGGGTAAGAAAACAGGTACATGTTTATCATGTGAAAAAGATGATAGAATTTTCAGCTCCTTTTCAACCATTCAATTTTTGGTGATAATACAAAAGAATTTTTGTTTTTGTAGTTGTTGGAGAGGTATTGTTAATCTCATTTATTATAATATTTGCAGCAAAAGGAGGTACAATACGCCTTGGATATTGATGATGAACAAATAACTGTAATTTTGTTGAAGTTTGTAGTCCTCTGGTCTGATAATTCATAATGACTGTGGGGGGAAAAAATCAGTATATAGTCCTGGATAATCGTATTTTTACTGAGTGAACCCTTCACTACTCAAGGGATTCCACAATTTTACACACCCAATTTAAGGCAGTGCAGAGTGTTATTAAAACGACTATAATACAGTGACACTTTGATGGATTTATATATAGGCCCCTATGTGGGCACTCAAATTATTTTGGATTGGACAGTGAATAAATAATAAGGGTGTAAATAGTAGTAAATGTGGCACAGAACCAGATGTGGATCTTTGGGTTGATAAAATCGGTACCCTAGAAATGTGACTTACGTGGCAATTTGCTAAAATCAGAACCAAAATGACCATGTGGCGATCTAGAATCAGAGTCAACTTAAGATAAACAGTTATGTTGCAGCAAGATCTTTTCTTTTGACTTTCCAATAATCTGAACTCAATCTTTGCCCAGATGTGAATGAATGTGCAGATGACCCATGCAAAGCTGTGGTAGAGGTGTGTGTCAACAATCAAGGGTCATACACGTGTTCCTGTGCCGCTGGTTATCAGCAAGTCGTTACAGGAGGGCCATGTGAAGGTGAGTACAGTAGGACATGACTATAGCGGCGCCCGCTGCAGCGGGACGATCCCGACAGTTGTACCTTACTGGAATCCCCCTTTTTTTGATCTATATAAACTCAATTACCTGTGCTTGGGTATATCGGGGCAAGGAATATTCCAAACTTGGATACAGCGGGAGGAATCGAGCGAGCTCTAGATGGGGGGGGAAGGGGGTTGGAGGGTGGTGAGCTGTAGGCGGGCTCCAAACAGGCAATCAGCGGTACAGCGTTGTGATTGGTCAGTCTAGTGATGAGTGAGGTGGTGCAGGCACATAGAGGGGAGGCGGCAGATAGAGATGGTGCAGAGAGACGTGTTACGTGAGCCAGTCCAAATGTGATGTGCCTTAGCGTCGCCTAGGACCTGTTTTATTCAAAGTGCCTCTTTAGGCTTTTTAAGTCCACTGTGGACAAAATTGTAATAGGCCAAAAAGTAAAATAAGAGAAGAGCATTGATGTGCGATCGTTGATGCTCAGGCATATGCATGCATCCACTTCGCCAGTTCTACAGTAGTAGGCCTACCAGTACGATAGACAGCACAAGGAAATGCTTCTCACTTGAATTAACTTTTTCTGGATATATTGCCGATATATCAGGGTGAGTCCACACCCCTTGTGGACGTATCGCCGAAACATCGGCTGTGATAGGGTGCCTCAGTTTTATTTCGTTTTAACAAGTTCCGTCATTTATAATTACTTTTTATTGCTATTGAAAAACTCGGAAAGGATTTAGGAAATGAAAACTTCTAGTTTCACTTTGTCTAAGCGTGGGTTTGGGGAACAACGAGTGAATTAGTTCTTGCGGTCTTGCATTAACAAAACGATGTAATCGGACTCAGTATGAATATCATAACTCAAACAAAAATTGGAATATTGCTTTCAAATAAAAAGCCGCGCTTTCAGACATTTATGGATTATGCTCTTGGCCTGTATATGATAAGATAACTATGCTGATGTGCTTTCACGTGTTTGGTGAATTAATTTTTTACCGTCAAAATTTATTTTTCTCATCACCATCGCCATTTCTAGCCCTTCGAATGCATACTTATGTTCAAAATTAATCTTTGTTTCATATTGGGATGTATTCCTCATTCAATTTCCTTCAATTTGATATATCATATATTACGTTTTGAATGATGGTTATGCTTCTATGAAGTTATTTTGTACCCCACCTGTATAGCCTTATCGAGCCACAAGTTAATTATGTCTAGACCCCCAAAAAACCTATGTTTGGGAAGAGTTAAAGGCAGAAATAATGTCACAAGAAAAGGAAAACTAAACTAAAGCCCAAATTTTTATTGATATGGAAGGGAGGTGATCATGTGAATTGATATAAATTTCTCTGTAATTCCCCTTTGCATTCCTATAGCGGGAACTTGCCTACAGTGGGATTTTTCTTCTGGAACCAAAAGTCAAACTATAGTGGGTCCAGTACAAAGTGTAGGTCAATCTGTACACAGCTGGAGCATGTTGTTAGCTTTTGGACAAGATGTTGAAGTATGATTCCAAAGGTTCCGTTTCAAATCCTTTCGTAGATGTAAGTCTTAAAAAAAAAAAAAAGAAAGAAAACTCCCTGTTCCTTGCTTGTAGACAATATAATGATGTCAAAGGTTCAGTTTCCTTTCCTTTCATAGAAGTAAGTTTTATTTAAGAAAAGCTGTCTGTTGTTTATGTTCCAAGGCTCTTAATTAGCCTCTTAACATTTTATTGAGGTAAGGTAGAGTTTGTATCATATATTGTAAGCGGCTCTTATCTTCATCTACTCCTCAGTTACCAATATACTGCAGTTTTGTACTCTGTACTTTTGATGATGAAGTGTAATAGTGATAAAAGCCTGTAGGCCTAAGATGCCATTCCAGTTCAGATTGAACACTTATATATAATATGTCTCTATACTGTGTTGTGAGACTGACAATTGTAAAGAGTTGCTGAAAATAAGATTCCCCAACCCCCCCTCCCCCACCCCCACCTGTCCCAGTTGGCTCATTTCTTCATATGTCTATCCTCAATGTTTGCCTAGATGTGGATGAATGTCAAACACAACAACCATGCCAAGCCAATGAAGACTGCACAAACAACAATGGATCATTCTCTTGCTCTTGTTCCACTGGCTACCTGCTGGAGAATAACACTTGTGTTGGTAAGTGCAAAGAGCACCTGCTTTTAGCAGCAAAAAAGGGGAGTTGGTTATTGGAGTTCAATGTTGATTAGGTTTACGAAGAAACAGATTGTTAGTTTTAGTAAGGTTTTAGGGCGCTCACAACTGCATAAGGTCATATGAGTGCCAAGGGGTAGATGTCAACAGAGAAGTCAAAACGGGGAATCAGGCTTTCTCTGCTCATTTCTCTATCCTCAACAGCGCAAAGTCTGCTTCAGCTATCAAGGCACCCCGGAAATAGCAGTTCACAAGAGAGTGACAAACATACAAAAGAAGTAGAAAAAAAATGACAATAATAAGGCTGAGGAAAGAAAAAGCAGCAGTTCCCTCGTATGTTATTTTGGCACAGTATGAGCATGACATTGATAAATCAACCCATTTACAATTCTACTGTGCATAAGAACTTGCTAATATCCCCCCTTTGGGAATGGCCTTAAGACAACTTCAGTCAGTAGCACTGCCCTGGTGAGGGAGCACAGATTGTTAAAAGTGACTGATACCGTTATTGATGTAGCCTGCAAGAAAAGTCATATGTATTCCTTTCAAATACAGTATAAGTCATGGCAGGGTATCAGTGCATTGTTCAACTAAGCGTGCAATATTTATTCCCACATTCAAGCAGAATTACACACACAAGTACATACGTACTAAATGTAAGCAAATGACATCTGTTTTATCGAGGTAGGATTTAAATATAAAACTGTTATTACTATTTTTGACACTGTTCAATATTTAACATTTTAATTGATATTGATTCTGACAGCACAGACTTTTAACTACTTTTGTCAATTCTTTACAGATGTAGATGAATGTGGAGGAGCGAACCCTTGCTCAGCGAATGCAGACTGCGCCAACACTCCCGGCTCATTCACCTGTACATGTAGTAATGGATTTACCTCATCCGCTTCAGGGTGTTCAGGTAAAGTAATAAGATGTATAGAACGTGCTATTTTTTTTTCCCTTTGAAATAGTCTATATACATACAGCTGAGTTCACCTTTTTACAAATTCAGACAGATGGAAACAAACCAATACTAAACAGAACAGGTTTTCTTTTTCTTAGATTTGTTTTTGTTCATTGGGATCATTAATCAGTATACCAACTATGTATTGAACCTTTCTCAAACGTGAGCTTGGTTGGGGTGTTTCTTTATCTTTACTCAAAACAAAAATTTGTAATTGTATTAAATTAGGCTTTTACAATTAATTTAGAACAAACCAAAATTGGCCAACGTCCATTATTTTAAGAAATTAAAAATGCCACTCTTTAAAAATGAACTTTTCTTTATCATGTGCGTCTTTTAAATGCCTCAAACTTAAATACAAACCCCCCACTGCAACTGAAATTCCATTGCTCGTGTACCTGTGCTCTGCTCAGTCGAACTTGAAGTAATTAAGCTTCTCTAGTACAACCACATGAAGATTTGTTAAGGTGACTTCTATCTATGTTGTCTAAACAAACAAATTTAGTTTCGTCTGACAGCTTTGTCTGCATCTCAGGATGGCTACTTCGAATTGTGAGGGAAATTCCTGACATAGAAGTGTGAACAAATCCATCGTTCACTTCTGCAAACTTAAAAGAGCTGTACAGTGATTTCATCTTATTTTTTAAGTATATTGCAAGATGTAAGAACAATGTTCTGCAATTTACATTTTCTTTGTCATTTTCGTGATTGGCAAATACTATTTAAAACTTGTTGTGTTTTTTTCTGTACAGATGTAAATGAATGTCTGAGTAGGCCATGTCTGGCGAACCAGGTCTGTGCCAACACTGAAGGCTCCTTCTCGTGTTCATGTGCCACAGGCTACATTTTTTCTCCCGTTGGGTGCATAGGTAAATCATTTACCTTCTGCTTTGCTAAATTATCCTCCTTATATTATATTACTTTTCTGGCATACAAAATTGTCCTCCTCATCATATCACATTATTTTCCTTGTGTGCCAAATTATTCTCTTCTTCATATTATTTTTCTTTCCTTGTGTGCCAAATTATCCTCTTCTTCACATTATTTTTCTTTCCTTGTGTGCCAAATTATCCTCTTCTTCACATTATTTTTCTTTCCTTGTGTGCCAAATTATCCTCTTCTTCATATTATTTTTCTTTCCTTGTGTGCCAAATTATCCTCTTCATCACATTATTTTTTTTTCCTTGTGTGCCAAATTATCCTCTTCATCACATTATTTTTTTTTTCTTGTGTGCCAAATTATCCTCTTCTTCATATTATTTTTCTTTCTTTGTGTGCCAAATTATCCTCTTCATCACATTATTTTTTTTTCCTTGTGTGCCAAATTATCCTCTTCATCACATTATTTTTTTTTCCTTGTGTGCCAAATTATCCTCTTCTTCATATTATTTTACTTTCTTGGTGTGCTGAATTATTCTCTTCATCATATCTTTTCTGTCAGGTTAGAGTCATTCTTGAACTCTGTGATTGACATTTGATTCTGTCAACAAATTTCACTGCTTTAGAAGTTCCATTTAAACAATGTTCCTTCAATAATGAATGCATGATTATTTCATGAATCAAGGAGTGCTTGTATTTTTTGTTGTTGTGGTTACTAGCTTATGGTCCTTCATGGCCCTTTCTATCTGTTTAATAAATCAGCTAGTCTGTGGCTGTAGTTGATAATTTTTGCTCGCTTGCTGTAAACGAGAATAACAACTGATTTTCCGGATGAGTTCGTCTTTTGATGACTATCATGATTGAGCAATGGCAACAGTGTCAGGAAATTTGAGAATATTGCTTCTCCTGGACCACTGACTTAATGCATGGTTAAACTAAACCAAAACAATTAATAGAGCTATTGACAAAGTACTTCTGAATACGTTGCCTTAATATTTTCTCAGAACTCATAAAATTGAGAAAAATAAAGGAGAAATATGAAAATATAGATTTTGATATAGAAATATGTGAATGATAATATTTGAAGCACGAGGTTTGAGTGTGATGACATTCAGGGGTATTTTCTTATACAGAAGAAGCAGTCTCTTACACGACCAGCAGAACAGCCTAAAAATGTTCATTGTATTACATGTAGCACTTTTGTAATATGAAAGACGTTTGGGACACTCAGTTTGCTCTGAGATATCATCAAGGGAATAATGAGAGAAAGTGGAATTTGGTTTCACCTCTCCCTGAGAGACATGAATTGTGAAAACAATTCAAACTGAGTAAAGGTACATGCGAAACTGAAACTCAAATGAAAACTGGCTGATCAAGAGAAACATAACAAAATAAGAGGAAGAATGAGCAATATTTTCCATTTATTTTTTTGCACCAAGGCTAAGGTTCATTTTTATAGAACAATGAGAAAATGCAGTAAAGAATGAGCATTTTTTGGTGCTAATTTTGGTGGTGTTCAATTAACAATTTGTGGGGAAGGTAACTGAAATCTTAGGTTATACGGTTTAAATGTCTTGATTTGTGAAGATTTTAAAATATTTTAAAAAAATTATATTCAGAACAAAAAAAGAAACTGATTCACTGTGTAAACTGATGACCATCTTTTCAATCTATGCCCAGATATAAACGAGTGTGAACCACTAAACCCATGCTCTGCTAACGAGGATTGTACCAACAATGAAGGATCATTCGTTTGTTCCTGCTCTGCTGGCTTTGAGAAAAATGTGAATGACACATGTGTGGGTAAGTATCAAGTTTTCCTGCTCGTGGTCTGAAGAAGCACAAGCAAAGAATTAATGACTTATTACTTTCAAATGTTTGATTCATTGCCAGTGCACCAATTAACACTTGCAGTTAGTCACCTGGCCGTATTATGCACTCATTACCGCTGGCGATTTCATTTCGTCGAATTGAATAGGCACTCATAATTAAACAACGAACGGACCCACTTCAGTTTAGCAAATGTCGAAGAAAGTCATGCTATAATAATATGATAACTGAATGGTTGATGAAACTCTGAATTTTTAAAGCGTGTTACTTGGGCTGCAAAGGTTTTTTTAATTAAAAAAATTTCTATCATGGCTTCTGCATTCTAAAATGGTGGGGCATTTGAGGGTTTTTTTTTCCTGTATGAGCCTTCGGTACTGTAAGTTTTAAACAGCAACTACTACTTACTTTTGAAGAATCTTATTGTATTTTGAAACAAATCTTTTGGGCTCCAGAAGTCATGTATAATACACATTGTTTCATAAAAAGTTGGAAGCTCTCTTCTTTTACAGTAACTTGAGCTCAATTTCAAGGAATGAACAGAAACTTCATTATTATGATAGAAATGGACCACTTTTCATGCTTGAAAATTCTTTTGATGGAAAACAGTTATGTTTCGGCATCTGCTCTGAACTAGACTAAACATACTATATGCCAGGGTTTTTTTTTAATGCTATACAAATTTGCAATTTTCATGATTTGTAAGAAAGAATTTAAAGTTATTCGGGCAGTGTTTATTGTAGTTTGTATTTAAATGTCCATCTGTTTCTTATTTTAGTTCATCTTCTTTTTCTTCTTCTTCTTCTTCTTCTTCTGCTTCTTCTTCTTCTTCTTCTTCTTCTTCTTCTTCTTCTTCTTCTTC